TTCAAGATGACGCATCCAATAGGTATAACGGACTAGTCTCGTCACTATGATCCGATTCTATTCAAAATTGGTGTCTGGCGGTTTTCGAGATCGGAGATGATGATTCTTTCATCGAAATTGGGAAATTCAAGATGGCGGATCCAATATGGCGGACGAGTTTTGTAATTATGATCCGAATCTATTCAAAACTTGTATCTGGGGGTTTTCGGGATCGGAGATTATGATTCTAAGATGAGTTGCCTAAACTTTTATCAATTCAAGAATAAAATCTTCCAGGTTCCAAAAATCACCTGAGGAATAAGAATCAGAAACCTAACATACCTTGACTTTTTATAAAAGGTGTTGGAGAATGGAAAATAAAAAATCTTGAAATATCAACCTTCAATGATATGTATATATCGGTAACGAAGTGTTTGCGGACACATACTTATAGAAAAAGAAAGTCTTATTTCGACCTGAAGAATAAGTTTCTGAAATCTTAATTGATACCTACTAAATTTTGAAACACCTTCTATATAGATAATATTCGATATTCTGAAATTAATTGTTAATCTTTCATGATAGGTACTTTTCTGATAATCATAACTATTTTTCAATAAATGATTGAGCGATATCATTTTTCAATAAATAACAGATATGATTGAATATGTCTGTGATAGCTATTATGGCCATGAAAGTATAGTTGTTTTATGGTAGCGGTATGTTCAATCAATTTTTTTTTCATCGCATCAATGGGAAATTGGCTTTCGGTGAATTTACTCCAATTTTTGATATATTGTAGAACTCGTGGTGCTGATCAAATGTCTCCATTGCACCAACACTCTAACAGTTAAGATTATATAGGGTGATAAAGTTGACTTTTCCAAAATTTTAGATAGAAATTTTGAAGACACTTTTCATAATTCCAAAACCAAATCAACTGTGCATCGATTGTTCGAATGACCGATACGAATCTACTATGAAGTATAATAATTCCTGCACGTACTAACAATATACAAGGTGGGTCGGAACATAGCGAATAATTCAGTGGTTTTCGGAAAAGTGGGCGGTGGAATTTCATTCAAATTCTGTAGTATACAAATATCATCCCCAATTCGTGATATTAGCATCTCCTAATCAGACCTCTTATATACAAGATGTTTTATTTTTGATAAAGTCACATCCATGTTAGGTACTTATTATTGGCATACTTATTATCACTTACAACTTGAACAACCTAGTGGGAAACTCGTTCATCCCATGATGAATGTCCACTCTGCAGATACGTGAAATATACGGAGTGGCTGAAAAATCAATGGTATATTTGTTAATAAGTTCTCAAGAATAGTATGTACAGATTCTTGTGACCCATTTTATTGACCCTGTTTCATAACATTATATTCAATAAAAATAATATGAACCATTCGATGAAGTATATTTTGAATAATATGTAAGAACGTACTGCAGGTATCATAGAAGGTTTTTCAGGTGATAGTGAAACAATCAACAACAGTAAACAAGAACAATGAATTTAAAAGGAATATTCTCTGATATAATTATGAACATAAAACAATGTATGCATTTATGAAGAAATACATTGAAAACTCGCATTCAATTCAATTCAGAATTCCTTTCCACGTCCTGTATGATGAATGTCAATTATCATACATCCAAAAAGAACAATGAATACGTATACAATTATTATGGATAACAAAATATTCTGATATTCAATCACAACAAGAGTTCTGTACCGTACCTACATAGTGTATTACACTCGTGTTTTGAAAAGCAATTATATTTTCTGGATCATGGATTTCATAAAACGAATTCGTTTCTCGAAATAAAGTAGTTGAATTTATTCAACTTCTTGAACAGTTTCCAGAATACAACTCGTCATATTTAATTCGAGAATACCTCAACCCTGAAAGAAAAATAAAAGTAGTGAACTGTTTATTGTCAATGATTAGTTCAATTACATGGATCACAAGAACCTGTATATACTATTCTTGAGAAGCTATTAGCAAAGACCATTGATTTTTCATCTACTCCCTATATTCCACGTATTTGCAGAGTAGACACGAGTTTCCCAATAGGTTGTTCAAGTTGTGAGTCATAATAAGGATGCCAATAATAAGTTCCTAAAATGGATGTGACTTTACCAAAAATGAAACATCTTGTATATAATATGTCTGATTAGGAGATGCTAATATCACGATCAGAATTGTATACTACAGAATTTAAATGAAATTCCACTGCCCACTTTTCCGGAAACCACTGAAATATTAGTTATGTTCCGACCTACCCTGTATATTGTTAGTACATGCAGGAATTATTATACGTCATATTAGATTCGTATCGGAAATTCGAACAATCAATGCAGTTGATTTGGTTTTGAAATTATGAAAGGTGTCTTCACAATTTCTATCTAAAATTTTGGAAATGCCAACTTTATCACCCTATATAACTGTTGATTTTAGAGCGTTGGTGCAATGGAGACATTTGATCAGCACCACGAGTTCTACAAAATTTCAAAAATTCGAGTAAATTCACCGAAAGCCAATTTCCCATTGATGCGGTGCGGGGTCCAATTTGGTTGGTATTTCCAATATTTGACAGATATGATTCAATATCCTGTAGTAGCCCAAGAAAGTAGTTATTTTCTGTTAGAAACTTCAACAATAATTCTCTCAATAGAACGAGGTTGTACTATTCGACTGGTTCAGTTACCGACTAGCGATCCAGCTTGATCTTTTTATAGAGCTGCTATTACTATAACAATGATGCGACATTCCTAGTCGCTAGTGGTTCTCTCTCGCTCCTAGCATAACCGAATCGCTCGTTGGTAGAAGCAGAGCAAAAGTTGGGAGAGAGCGAACCACTTGTTGTTACCCGAATCAACCAAACTAGGTCGCGAAGAGGGACATCCTAAAGACTACGAGATCACAGTTCTCCCGTGCAATGGAAACATAACTCACTTCTTCACCGAAAATGAGTCCTACCCTTGATTATACCGGGTGACACAGGAGACATGTAGCAGCCTGTAGTTTTTTTTATTTGGAGAGATAAAATTTTGAAATTCACAGGGGGTATATAATAAATGGTAGCGCAATTTACGAACTTAACGACAATTTTTTTCAACTACAGGTTTGACCGGAAGTGATCCCAACTTTTTTGTTTTAAATATCACCCTGTACATTTCTTCAGTCTATCTTGTTCGCCTTGAAATTCTCTATCCAACCATGTATCACAAAGTGGCATTGTATTCCTTGAAGAATGAGTTGGCTATGACATGAATTCGATGATATATCGACACTTGGTAGGCTTTGAAATTTAAATATCATTAATGAACCGATATTATTCAGAATGTTTTGATATTCTCATCAATGTCTGCAGGTTGTCAATAGCTTGTTTGAGTCAAGATGAAAACCTTCGAAAATAACTCATGATTTGAGGAATCTAAGATAGGAACATATTTTTTCGAATTCAGCTACTCGTACAGAAACTATCTGTCTTTTATTTTCGCCATGTACCTATCACATGATCTTCCCATTTGGATTAATAAAACTAAAATTGTTCCTCTTATACGATGATCCACAGGGCTATCAGTCTATTTTTTCATAATTATTTCACTCAGTAGGCGGTGTAGGTACCTACACAAAATGTTTCATGTGTTTGACAGTTAATCGATTGCATCAATAATTTTTCTTCTTCATTTGTGTGTTTCAACACAAAACATCCTGAAGTTGAAAAATCTGGATTTTGAATCACACCCTATATCTCTGTAATCATTCCCGCTAGACCCCGAGTGTGATGATACCATCAACCATCAATGAATATCTTGAACAAAACTAAAATAAATGAATTCATATGAATAAATTCGTGCCAACCCTGGCCATACACCGAGTCACCCACCTACCTCGGCCAAGTGTGGACCCCGGACACCTCGAACCCGTAGTGCCACGACCCCGAATATAAGCGCCCTGACCCTTAGGCCCCGTGCAAACGTCGTGGTCGTGCGCCTTGCCCTCCTTACACCCGCCAACATAACGTGGTCAATTAATGCTCTATCTATCTATTTGATTTTCTACCTATCTATCTATCTAATTATCTATCTATATTTCTATCTATATATCTATCTATCCATAGTAAACCATCAACGAAAATCTTAGACAAATGAATGAATCAAAAATGAAATAAATGAATTCATATGAATCAATACGTGCTAACCCTGACCATACTCCGAGTCACCACCTACCTTGGCCAAGTGTAGACCCCGGACACCTCAAATCCGTAGTGCCACGACCCCGAATAAGCGGCCTGGCCCTTGTACCCCGTGTACACGCCGTGGCCGCCTCTTCACACTCGCCAACATAATGTGGTCAAATGAAGCTCTATCTATCTATCAATGAAAATATCTATCTATCTACCTAGACAAATGAATGAAACAAAAATAAAATTAATGAATACGTATGAATAAATTCGTGCCAACCCTGGCCATACTCCGAGTCACCCACCTACCTTGGCCAAGTGGTGTAGACCCCGAACACCTCAAACTCGTAGTGCCACGACCCCGAATAAGCGCCCTGGCCCTTGGGCCCCTTGCACATATGCCGTGGCCGCCTTCTAACACTCGCCAACATAATGTTGTCAAATAAAGCACTATCTATATTTCAATTTAATCATCTATTTTAATCGATCTATCCATAGTAAACCATCAACGAAAATCTTGGACAAATAAATAAAATAAAAACAAAATAAATAAATTCATATGAATCAATCCGTGCCAATCCTGGGCATACTCCGAGTCACCACCTACCTCAGCCAAGTGTAGACCCCGGACATTTTTTTTTTCATTTACTCTAAGTTCTGGTGATCTGTTATCTAATAAGTTCAAAACAGATCGTAATTTGCCTTTTTCAATAGTTGTTTTATGCTCTGATTCTTTTCAGTTTCGTGTGCTTATGCCTATGGTTATAATTTCGTTAGTAAAAAAGCCGTAATCTACTAGGTGTTGGATTTGTTTACATGCCCTGGTGTTGTGTTCTCACATTACATTCTATTAACATTCTTTTAACAGCTTTCCAGCACCTCTGCTTATTTCTACCGGACACCTCGAACCCGTAGTGCCACGACCCCGAATAAGCGCCCTGGCCCTTGGGCCCCGTGTACACGCCGTGGCCGCCTCATCACACTCGCCAACATAATGTGGTCAAATAAAGCTCTATCCATCTATCAATTTAATCGTGTATTTATCTATCTATCCATAGTAAACCATAAATGAAAGTCTTAGACAAATGAATAAAATGAATGAATGCATATGAATAAATTCGTGCCAATCCTGGCCATACTCGAAGTCACCCACCTACCTCGGCCAAGTGTAGACCCCGGACACCTCGAACCCGTAGTGCCACGACCCCGAATAAGCGCCCTGGCCCTTAGGCCCCGTGCACACACCGTGGCCGTGCGCTTTGCCCTCCTCCCACCCGCCGCAGTACGTGCCGCCGTCGTCGAAGTCGAACCGGCCGCCGTTCACGTGGCCGCGCCCGGCGGCGGTGCCGGTGGCGCCGGTCGAGGGCCCGGCGGCGGCGTCCGGCGCCGGCTGCTGCATCTGGGGCGCGGCTCACCGGCGCTCGCGGCAGCGCATCGAGAACGGATGATTTTTATTTTTTCGAGAGTTCGGTCGGTCGGTTTGGTCGTTTTTTTTTGGTATCAGCTCGTCGTCATGTTTGACGCCGTGACGCGTTCGAACTGAGGCCCGGGCTAACTGTGCCGACGGCGGACGTCGCGGCGGCCGTGAGGGAGAGGCGCAAGCGCTGCGAAAGCGTCGCGAAAGGCAGTGATGGAGGCGAGAGACGGCGGAGGGTTTTTTTTCTGATTTGGGGGCACACGTATCTTATTTATTTTTTGGGGAAAGAAGGTGAATACAGTCAACTAACTGCTTGGCCAATGACGGCTAAATATCAAGAAGATATCAAGTAAGCTGCCGACCTGATCCAGGCAGCTTACTTGATATTAAGCCGTCATTGGCTTGGCAAAACGACAGTGTATAAGAATGCGTAGTTGTGTACATTTGATTCTCTTTTCTGAATTCAGATTTCCTTGACTAAATTCAGACTTTTTCTTATGAATATATAATGACTTTTTCTCTGAATTCAGACTTTTGTCAATGATTTCAGACATTTTTCTTTGAATTCAGACTTCTTTTTCTGAATTAAGACCTTCTTTTCTGAATTCAGACATTTTCTTATTAATGTATATAAATGTCGGATTGAATGTTTAAAAAGGAATATTCTCAGATAAATCATGAACATGAAAGAATGGATATACAGGGTGTCCCATAAGTAATGAAACAAAAAAATGGGGTGGTATAGGGGGGTCATATGTAATCAAACTAACGGTATATGTTGTTATCAAATTGTTGATGGTTCAAAAGTTATTCAATTTCTCTGAAAAATGCGACTCATTTGGAAAAAATTAATAACAAAAAGGCTGTTTTGAATAACCCCATGTGTTATACTGTTTCGGAATCTGTATTAAGTGGGCAACTTTTTCTCATGATTGGTTTTCAAATCTGCCAGCGGCGACTTTAAATATTTCATTCGATGAAAAAACTCAAGGAAAACAACATTTTTCTCAGGTAATTGATAAGAAGTAATGCATGTCATAAAATTATTTCTCGGAAAAGGTGCATCCATGTGGATGAAATTTGTTAAAGGAAAAATCACAAATGTGACATATAGTTTTATTGTGATCAATTCTTTTTATAGAAATGAAAAAACAATAATAACTTTTGAACCATCAACAATTGGATACCACCCCACTTATTTTGATCCATGGCGTATATGTGTGGGACACACCTGCTGTATATAAAGAAATACCTACATCGAGAATTCGACGTGACAAATAGCCAGGAAATTAGTTGTTCTCTGTTGAATATTCAGAATGATATAATGTGCATATACATATTTTTATCTGAGGGAGAATGCAAATACTCAACTTCAGAAGATTTTGTTATCAAATTCTTATCATGTATATGTAATTCAATGTTCGTCGTGGCATATATCCAGGAAAGAAGTTGTTTTCTGTTGAATAAACCGAGAAAAAATTGATATTTTCATGACATAGAGAATGCGAATTTGCAATATATTTCTTTATATACAGGGTGGCATTGAAATAAGTGCAAATATTTCAAACACTGAGAAAGCTTTACGTGTACTATCCACCCAAAGTTCTACACTGTAGCAAATCTGAAGTGGTTCAAATTTCCATGCGTTACGCACACTCACGCGGAGTTCAATCATTTAAAATGTTTAAAAGTGGCGTACTTGATTTTTTTCTCGTATTTTGTTCAACTTTTGGGATGAGATATCTCGTTAATTAGAAGAACTAGAAAAAACTTGATATGATGGGAATATTCCTTAGACTGCATCATATCGATGTGCTGAATACGTGCACTTATTTCAAAAATACCTTGTATATCTATATATATATATCCATTTTTTCATGTTCATATTAGGAATGTTGTACTAATGAATGATTTAATAAAGAAACGAAAATAAATAATATTCCTTGTTTTTTATCCTCTTTTTCTCGGAATTCAGTATTTATACTTTGAATTCAGACCTTTTTTTCTGATTTCCGTTATCTCTGATTTCAGCGTTTTCCTCTGCATTATTCAGACCTTCTTCTATGAATTCTGACTTTTTTATCTGAACTCAAACTTTTTTCGAATTCTGACTTTTATCTTCAAATCCAGACTTTTTTCTCTAAACTATTTGCTCTGAATTCACACTCTTTTCTTGAATTAAAACTATAATCTCTGAATTTAGACCTTCTTCTCTGAATTCAGATTTATTTTAAATTCAGAATTACGTTCTTGAATTCCGACAAATTTGAATATATTCATATAGATTTCAGACTTTTTTTATGAATTTGGATTTTTTTCTCTGAATTCAGATTTTTTTCTCTGAATTCGGATATTTTCATTTCGAAAATCTTCGCCTGCGGTGGGCTTTCAGCTCGCTCCGCTCGCTGTTGGGAAATCGGCGATTTCGGCGATTATTTTCATGAGTGATGCGATATTTCTTATCATAAAGTTGGTAACTCTGTTGCTATCAGCTCAGCTCGTTCATGTTGGACGCCGTGACGCGTTCTAGCTGAGACCCGGGCTAAAACTGTGTGGACGACGGACGTCGCGGCGGTCGCAAAGGAGAAGGAGGCGCAAGCGTCGCAAAATGCAGTGATGGAGGCGAGAGACGGCGAAAGGGTTTTTGTTCTGTTGCGGAGTCCACATCTTATGATTTTTTTGTTGATAAGAAGTTGGATGCAATAAGAAATAAGAGTTTACGGTCGACTAACTGCTTGGCCATTGTCGATCTAGATGACAACCTATAGTTAGGTAGTTAGTAGGCAAGAGCTATAATATTGTCTATTCATTGAAAAGAAAAATGAAGAAATGTTGTACCTCAGAGACATCTATCTACGTGAACTAAGTAAACTAAGTCAGGTATTCATTTTTTATTCCTAACCCAAAAATGTTTCATATTCCTGTCAAAAGTTTGTGAATAAAAATCTGTCATGTTGAAACCCGAGGATGAAACATTATCACGAAAAATATTATCTAGTATGAAAATCATCTACCTATACTTGAATGGAAGCAGGAATATGTTTAGGCAATGCTGTATATTAGCATGATTTATGATGCAACTTGAATTTAAGTAGGAACTGTGGAAACTTCGGAAACTCATCAGTGCTTTTACACTTTTTCGACATGCAAGCCAAGCGGAAAGGTAGGGGCTGCTTATTTCTTTCTATATTTTCAATAAGTTACTAGGTATACAGGGTGTTTCAAAAAAACCTAACCCCCTTGCTAGGGTAGGTAGAACATTGCAAAATAAGTTGGGTATGCTCAGTAAAAAAATGTCGTAACGCCATCCGTCTTCAAGATACAAGGTGTTGAAAAAATATTTTTTTTACACATTTTTTACGATTATGTTGAAACTACTGGCGACATTGTAATGAAATTTTGTATGGATGTGTTTTGAAAGCTGACACCTCGCATGAATTTGTTTTTATATCTGACACTCATAGAGGGCGCTAGTTACATGGTTCGTACCGAGTACTTTTACACATAACTTTTTTGAGGTTAGATTTTTCAGTCCAAATTTAATGTGAACATGAACATCATTCAATTTTACACTAAAAAAGGTGCTCCCAGTAAAACTTGATACTGTGTACCGTTTTCGGGATATTTCGATTTAAAAATGCTGAAGTGTAACACTGACGCTAGTTGAAAGTATAAGTATTATAAAATACAAAATACTGTTACCTATTTATTAATAATCACGTCAAGAGTTGCAAGAAAGAATTGAAACTCACTTCGATGATCTTATAGCTGATCCTCAACCGTTGACAAGATTGATGATGCATTCTTTAGAAAAAAGGATCGAATAATTGTGTATTCGTGAAAACGGAGGACATTTTTGACACTTACCCTAACTAGATGATGTTTTCAGTCGAATATTTCCTGATGTGATTTTGTTTATTCGATAACTTCAGCAGTAAAATGATGTTACTGTTTTTGGTCCTCAATAATAAATAAAAAATTGTTTTTTTTATAATATTTATTCTAATACCAGAATCAGAGTTATTGCTTCAGCATTTTCAAATCAAAATATTTCGAAAACGGTACACCAGTATCGAGTTTCACGAAGAGCATCATTTTGGTGTAAAATTGAATGGTGTTCAAGTTCATATTGAATTAGGACTGGAAAATCTAACTTCAAAAAAGTGATGATCAAAAAGTACTCGGTACGAACCGTGTAAACTAGCTCCCACTATGAGTGTCAGATAAAAAAACAAATGCATGCGGTATGTCAGCTTTCAGAACACATCCATACAAAATTTCATCACAATGTTGCCAGTAGTTTCGACATAATCGTAAATAATGTGTGAAAAAAATATTTTTTCAACACCTTGTATCTTGAAAACGGACGCCGTTACATTTCTTCACTGAGCAAACCAAACTTATTTCGCAATGTTCTACTTACCCTAGCAAGGGGATGTTAGGTTTTTTTGAAACACCCTGTATAATTCATGAAATTCCGTTATTTGCAGTGAAAACATTTGTTTTTAGTGATGTAAACATCGGAATCACTACTTGAAAATTTCAGGTACCTACAGCGAAGAGTACCTACATGAATAGCTTTTCAGTTGAAAAACGAAGGACTACCTATGAGGAGTGATACAAACAAATTGTACCTTCTCGCGCATACTAGGTCGCCTACTATATGTTTTCATTTAGATCGACAATGGCTTGGCAAAATGACCGAGCACTTTTTCTGAATGCACATTTCTTTATCTGAATACAGACTTCTTTCCATGAATACAAGATGTGTCAGAGTTGTGAAGATTTTGTTTTCAAATTCTTATCGTGTGTGTTCAATAGATATATTTCAATGTTCGTCGTGGCATATACAGGCTGATCCACGGTAGATGGCCTATTAGAAGTATCTGGAGAACGAGAAGACAGAACATTCTGAAAATTGGGATGCTTTGATAATTGTACATTCTCTATCCGTCTAAAATATTTTCATCGATACAGTGTTGCCACTTCTATCAGAACCAACTAGCAACTTCGTTATTTTGAATAGAGCACCCTGTATTTTATTGCATTTTTAGATTATCCCTAAAAAGCTGATTTCATCAATGCATCACACTTGGGGTCTAGCAAGAATGATTACATAGATATAGGGTGATCAAAATCGAGATTTTTCAATTTCAGGATTTTTTTGTGTCGAAAGTATTCGTTATTGATCAAAACGGCTTACATGTCCCTATCTTAACTTTTCACTATCTACTGACATTTAATTGGAACAGATACAGGGTGATCAGAATTCTGAATCTTGAAGCACCCTGTATTTTTTCCAATCAAATTTCAGTAGATAGTCAATCAAAAGTTAAGATAGGGACATGTAAGCCGTTTTGATCGATAATGAATAGTTTCGACACAAAAAAAATCCTAAAATTGAAAAATCTCGATTTTGAACACCCTTTATCTCTGTAATCATTCCTGCTAGACCCCAAGTGTGATGCATTGATGAAATCAGCTCTTCAGAAAGAATCTAAATATGCAATAAAATTCAGGGTGTTCCATTTGAAATAACAAAGTTGCTAGTTGTTTCTGATATAAGTGGCAACACTGTATCGATGAAAATATTCTAGACGGATAGAGAATGTTCAATTATCGAAGAAACCCAATTTTCAGGATGTTCTGTCTTTTCGTTCTCCAGATACTTCTAATAGGCCATCCATCGTGGATCACCCTGTATAGCCAGGAAAGAAGTTATTGTTTCCTGTTGAATAAACCGAGAACATATTTTCATCAAATAGAGAATGCGAATTCTCAATGTATTTATTTTTATATACAGGGTGGCATTGGAATACGTGCAAATATTTCAAATACTGAGAAATCTCGACGTGTACTATCTAATTATTATATTACTTATTTCTCTGAGGTCACTTATTTCTCTGAATACGGAATTTTTTCTCTGATTTCAGATTGTTTCCACTGAACTCAGACGTTTTGCTCTGTATTCAGAATTTTTTGTCTCAATTGAGACTTTTTCAATGGATTTATTCCTTTTCCTCTGAATTCAGTCTAGTCTGACTTTCCTCTCCATCTTCAGACTTTTTTTCTGAATTGATAATTTTTCTTGACTTAGACCTTTCTCTCTGCATTCAGACCTTTTTTTCTCTGATTTTAGAAGTTTTTCTCTGAATTATCAGACATTTTTCTCTGAACTCAAACCTTTTTCTTCGAATTCAGACTATTTTCCCGGTATTCAGACTCTATTCACTGAACTCATACTTTTTTCTCTGTATTCATAAGACCTTTACCTCTGAATTCAGACTTTTTTCTCTGCTCCTGGTTATCAGAGGGATCCTAAAAATCAGAGGGCCCGCCCCTGTGTTGAATAAATAAACTCGGAATTATAACAATTTTAAATATATTTACAGACAAGTTATATAAACAAATATTTCTTACAAATATAAGTAAATTTATGTAGTAAAATATCCAGTACAAAATAATCCTTAAAAGATACAGAAAGAAACGAAAAACCTTGAAAAAAAGACTACACAAGGCACAGTTCAATAGGGTAGCATGAAAACCTTAAAAATAAAAGCGCATCTGATGCATCTTATTTCATTATGTTGGTCATCTCATTAAAAATTCAACAGTGAAATTATTTTATTGGTACTCGAAACTGCTACCAATATACAGGGCGTACTTTTTATGTTGTACACCTATATTGGCATCTCGGAAACATTGAATTATACATATGAAGTTGGCTGAATTGAAAATCAAAGCTTATTTGAAAGAGAGAAGAAATTTTCTACAGGAAGCACCTACGTTTCCATATCCCCAAAAGTGTAAACGCCAGAGTAAAAAAACACAAACAACCATTTCAGTTTGGAATTCAATCACTTACCATTTACGATATGCCAAAAATGTAGTCTTCCTTCACAAAAATCCAACAGTTCCATCACAATCCAGATTCCCCAAATAAAATAAGCGTCAAATACGCGTTTCTAAAAAGATTCACATGCACCTTGATCTCCAAAAATTAATCTACTTGGGGTGGAACTTCTTGCTCGGGTCTTTGGCCATATCCAAGAGGGTCTGAGCCGCCCTGAAGGGCAGCCCGTAGGAGTTCTGGAAGGCGTCCATCTTGGCGACCAGCTTGGCCGCCCCGTATTGGTCCACCCAGCGGAAGGGCCCGCCGGTGAACGGGGGGAAGCCGAGCCCGAAAACAGCACCGACATCTCCCTCCATGGGGTTGGCGAGGATCTTCTCTTCCAGACAGAGGACGGCTTCGTTGACGAACCTGCGAAAAATAGAATGACTTATTTAATACTAATAATAATAAATCGCTTTTATTGATAGTAAGTAAGAATAATAGGTACAAGAAGTAGATTAACATATAACGTTGATGCTTGCTATCGAATGAGGTATTCAACTTATTGGTAACACTGTGAATTGTATACAAGCGTCTAGCTAGACCAGTGAATCTTCAAACATCGAGGTCAAGTTACGTCACCCACAACACATGATATTTCTTATTTCTTCATATTGAGAAACTACGAACAAGTGATAGCTTAGTGGTTAGTATATCTGACTTCCACTAGGGGTCCTTCCTCTCACTTCTTCTATACACCTTATATACGCATGACTTCCCTGTATTTGAGCGAACGAGTGCAGCGCTGTATGCCGACGATACGGCAATATACGCGCACTCGTTCGACTCGGATATTGCCAGGACTGAAATCCAGATCCATCTGGACAGGAGAGTTATACCGTACTTTGACGAGTCGAATATCTGTATAATAGTCTAAGATCCGAACCTAAATCGACCTTCGACGAGCTGATAATAGAACGAAATATATTTTATCATGAATTTAGTGTATTAGAAAACATATTAAAAATGGGTTCGCTAAAAAAATCCTGGGCAGACTATTTTTAATTATTTTTCGAAAAATGATTTTTAGTCAAATGTTGCAACATCAGGATAATAAAAAATTTTTGTCCTGACTAAAAGTTTAAAACGTATAGAATGTGCAGCCGTTGGGTTGTCTACTATTTACCTGGGCGAACTACTGGGTTGTCAGGTAACACAGGTATATCGATGCAAGTTACTTTCACTGGATTGGATAATTGAAAAAAATTTATTTCATCATAAGCGCTGTTTAATTGCGAACACGTTGATATAGGGTTGTCTGCGAAAATTCCGGTCCTATTAGGGGTTTGCGAATTTTAAAGATTTTAATTTCAACGCGCGTGGAAGTGCATGTGTGACAGAGAGATCCGAGGTAAGTATACTGTGTAATAATAAAGGATCCAACATCGCAGTCGCTTGTGATGGGACCCTGAATAGTAGAAAGTGTGCGAAGTGTGCGAAGTCAAATCCTGAAAACTATGGTTGGCATTTTGATGATTTTTTAAAACCAACAGGTTTTATCGGAGATCAAACTCCTTTGAAAATCCAGGACATTGTCGAAATGGAATCAAATGAGGAAGAATCTAATGAATCAGACGAATTCGAGAGTCAAAATGATACTTCTGATGAATCAGATATTGAATAGAAAATATTAATTAGAATTTATTATTCATTAATATTATTTTTGTATTTATACTGTTTTTTAATAAAATTTTAAATCGTAATACGAGATGTCTAGTCTATCTTTTTTGTTATTTCTTAATTTAAATTTTTGGCGGTCCACTTTGTTTCTATTTCCAGAAAGAGCAAAAAAAGTTCAAAGTAAGTAATTGATATTTTTATTGTCTATTATAGATTATAGATATATTATTATGGTTATAACGCAATATATTGATATTATATTGTTTTTATATATTAGTATTATATTAAATATATTTAATTATTATGTTATTAATTATATTTTTTTTTGCTACTGAAATATCAGTTGCTCCAAAATAACACGCACTGTTTACTATATGAAGGGTAGTAGAGGTACCTCTACCCTCCATAGTTTACACACCGAGCATGCGCACTTTCTACTATTCAGGGTCCCATCACAAGCGACTGCGATGCTGTGTGCTAGGTCCTTTATTATTACACAGTATACTTACCTCGGATCTCTCTGTCACACACTTCCACGCGCGTTGAAATTAAAATCTTTAAAATTCGCAAACCCCTAATAGGACCGGAATTTTCGCAGACAACCCTACATCAACGTGTTCGCAATTAAACAGCGCTTATGATGGTATAAATTTTTTTTAATTATCCAATCCAGTGAAAGTAACTGGCATCGATATACCTGTGTTTACCTGACAACCCAGTAGTTCGCCCAGGTAAATAGTAGACAACCCAACGGCTGCACATTCTATACGTTTTATACTTTCAGTCAGGACAAATTTTTTTTATTATCCTGATGTTGCAACATTTAATTAAAAATTATTTTTCGAAAAATAATTAAAAATAGTCTGCCCAGGATTTTTTTAGCGAACCCATTTTTAATATGTTTTCTAATATACTAAATTCATGATAAAATATATTTCGTTCTATTATCAGCTCGGTGAAGGTCGATTTAGGTTCGGATCTTCTACTATAAATAACACCAAGACCGAAGTTATAAATTTCCACAAAAAAATCAGGAACACTACCTCGCACAGACCTTTGACCGTCAAAGGGGTGGAGGTGAGGGACACGATCACCGTGAAATACCTGGGGGTTAAATTAGACACCCGTATGAACCTCAGGTCTAATACAAACTATTTAATCCAAAAAACACAGGCTGCTATCAAACGAATGTATCCGCTGATATCCAGGACCTCTCCACTATCAATGGAGAACAAGGTCCTGGTATACAAGCAAATCATTAGACCTGTGATGACGTACGCGTGTCCGGTGTTCTGCAGCATCTCACCTACTCATATGAATAGGTTACAGGTGCCGCAGAACAAAGTGCTTTGTATTATCACCAATGGTGATAGATACACTCGAGTGGCATAACCTATCAAACCCGTGCGATGACTCAAACAAGAGCCCATCATAATATACATAAAAAACACGGGCTGATATATGCATCAACAGACGTTTTCGGGGAACCAGATAATCCATAGCGGGTCCTTTCCCGGAGCTTAAGAGTTTTTCACGCTCCGGGAAATGACCCGCAATCAGGAAATCTACCAAGCGCGAGAACAACGAAGTGACGCGCTGTCATAGACATGATAGCCGGCACTAAACCGCGGCTGGTGTTATTTTATTTATTTTCCTTCATATCCGCAAATCACGCCACCGATAATGTATGAACAACCCCCGCCCATTGGGTACACTCAGTGAGACCACCGATATAAAGGGCCTTGCCCTAGGAGATCGGCCTCTGAGACGAACGCGTTGCATTGACATCCACATCCCCTGGCCAACACCAGCCACCTCTGTACAGCTCGGAGGACAGAACAGGAGTGATTCGCCCATATACCCACTCATGGGACTTGCTCTCCTACAATATCTGTGATGTGTGATGTAATAAAAAATGTAATGTATCTACGTGTTGAAGGAATAAACAGACTTTGAAGTGTGTGACTTCCACGGTGGTGACTGGGGTTCAATCCCTGCGAGGCGTCAATTTTTTTAAAAATTTGTGTCACTCAATTAATTTTTCGAAAATATACTTTTCAGGAAAAAGGTTCATTTAGGACAAGTTACGTTGAAAGTATGTAGTTACCTTTTTCATGCAGTAGAGATATTTTCCTTCCCCATATTACCTTATAAGTGTTATAAACAAGAATAAACTTTTGATAACCTTTGAGATTTGAAAGATTCACTGGTCCAGCCTCTGTAATTATCGGTTCGTTATAATTAATGATCGGTCCAGCCTCACAGACTGATGATTAATTATAACGAACCGATAATTACTGAATTTTTTATTGTTAAGATGTTTTTCCACATAACAGGTACTTTTTAATTGTGTCTGAAGATGGCCGTAGAGCCGGAACTCTAGTCACACTGATTATATATTTTTTATATTAAATATTGTGGTCGACCGACTTTGAGTTCGTTTTTTCTTTTGTTGAAAAATATCGGGCAACTTTGAGAATGGATGGTTTCCATGACTTCAAGAGCTACCACTGGGGCCCCCAATTCTCGAATCTGTAGGAATTCGATACAATAGGAGAATGATCCAATGCTTTCAGTTCTCATAGGAAATGATAATTTGTCATGACACCTATTCTTGAACCAGATGAAATCGACTTTCCCAGGGGATTGAGAGAGTGCCGCATGTCGCAGATAGATTCTTGAACTTACATGAATTCACCAATGAAATAAGTGGGATTTATGTTGGTAACTGGTGGATGATTGAAATAAAATGTTGACATTTTGATTTTGACAAATTTAAAGGTTATAATATAATATAATTTTGTGACTGAGATTATTTTGTATTGTATATTTACTATATTTCCTCTGATAGAAATGGATATGGGTACAAACAATATTAAAAGACCACGAGATGGTAGTATTAGCAAAGAGCAGTCAAGACTTTTGATAGATGGCCTCTGAGGACTTGAGGAAAGGAGAATTCCACCCTCAATTCACTTTTAAGAATTCTGAAGTACCTATCAATTTTCTAGTAATGTCTTTGGACAAACGAAAAACTTAGCTAAATTGTGCAGCAGATATACTCTCAAATGTTCCCTTCTACCCTTCTACGCAGAAACCTTCTTCTTAGTCTTCTAGCAAAGATTTCAGCCTCTTCCAAATTCCAAATCCTCTAGATGATTTATTTCATCTATGTTTGCTACGTTTTGCAATACATGTATTTTTCCGATTTTTCACTAGGGTTCAGTTCCCATCACAAATGAGAATAACTTCCTATTTCATGAGTGTATCCTATGGGAAACATGTTGTTCCTATGAGTATTACCATGGAAAGTAGTTCTCTTGAAATGTTTAGGAATAGTTTCCCATACAATAGTTCAAGAATATCGAATATCGAGTTTTTCCCATGGCAACGAATTCCAACGGATCCGAGAATCGGGCCCCTGAAAGGAATCAAGCCTCGATAGTTCCTCACCTGGACACCATCCTGAGCGTTTTGTCTTCGTCTTCGAACGCCCCCTTCGGCGCCAGCGAGTACCTCTTGATGATCTCCACCGCCTCGGCGTTGACTTCGCGGCTCTTCTTCCCCTTTTCGTACAGGTAGATGCCTTTGCCAGACTTGCGGCCGAGGAAGCCGGCTTGTACCATGTCGCGCATCACGCCCAAGTCACCTCCAGCGAACCTTTCGCCGAAAGCCTTGCAAAAAATCAAAAAGAATAGTTATTTTTCTACAAACGTCAAAAAATGACAAGGTTCGCGCATTGATAACAAATTGCGAAGTGATCCTTTTTTTCAGTTCCCTACGTTACCATGATACCTTGCACAAAACAATGCGCGAAGTAAAACAGTGCGCGAAGTACCTACTTCGCGCACTGTTATGTAAAATATATGAGATATTTATATTTCAACTTTATGGTCCTCAATCGAGCAGACATCCAAGAAATCATTTATTTCTGAGTGTTCAACAATAACTTTGTTTTTTCTCTTTGAGCGCACGAAAAGAAATTCCTATTATGTTCGTGGAACATCGTGCGTACCTAGGGAGGATAGGGGGAGACCTTGTAAGCCAGTTCAACACTATTGCTTATATCAAGCCAAGCATATTTTCACTTTAGAACTATATTTTTTGACGTTTGTAGAAAAAATTTTGTTTGCAACTCGAGCGCGAAATACTTTGGTCATCTCGACTATTTTTTCAACTCGGCTACGCCTCGTTTAAAAAATCAGATCTCGATCACCAAAGTAGCATTTCGCGCTCTAGATACAAAAATAACTATTTTCTACGAACGTCAAAAAATGACAAGGTTCGCGCATTGATAGCAAATTGCGAAGTGACACTTTTTTTCAGTTTCCTATGTTACAATGATATCTTGCACCAAACAATGTGCGAAGTAAAACAGTGCGCGAAGTACCTACTTCGCGCATTGTTATGTAAAATATATGAGATATTTATATTCCAACTTAATGGTCCTCAATCGAGAAAACATCCACGAAATCATTTATTTCTGAATGTTCAACAATAACTTCGTTTTATCTCTTGGAGCGCACGAAAGAAAATTCCTATTATGTTCGTGAAACATCGTGCTCACCTAGGGAGGATAGGAGATGCCTTTTAAGCTAGTTCAACACCATTTTTTATATCAAGCTAAGCATATTTTTACTTCAAAACTATATTTTTTGACGTTTGTAGAAAAAATTTTGTTTGCAACTCGAGCGCGAAATACTTTGGTCATCTCGACTATTTTTTTAACTCGGCTACGCCTCGATAAAAAAATCAGATCTCGATCACCAAAGTAGCATTTCGCGCTCTAGATACAAAAATAACTATTGTTTAACTAGGCAGCAAAGTAGTAGATTGACTGCCGAGGCTGAATTCATAGCCGAGCGTAGCGAGGCTAGGAATGCCGAGTTGAACACATAATTTTTTCTTCGATTGTTCATAATGATATAGGAGTATATTGTAATTGCAAATTATTACAATTCCCACAATCTCTTTATTTTTCCTGTAGTGTTCAATTAAAATGAAATTTGATAGAAATCGCAGTTGTCCATGATAATTATAGTTTGACAATTCATGAAAATTCTGACAGTTGTGCGAAAAAATATCGGTATATTCAAATTATTATATAATGGATCGTGATAGCGACCTGGAAGTACCTACACCTCCAGAAATAAGGGAGGTGGCAAAAAATATAGAGTTGAATTTGTTGCCGGAGAAGTCTCGAATGAAATATGAAGGAAATTATGAACGATTTATGGATTACTAATTTAGCTGATACATATCAATCAGCAAAGTAACCACTTTGCTGCCTAGGCAGGAAAAGTAATACTTTGCTGATTGATATGTGTCAGCAAAATCAATATTTGCTGCCAATCGGAGAAAAATGAATTTTGCATTCATCATGCGATTGGTTTTTTTCTAATATTGTTTCGCCTCTCTTATACAGAGTGTTCCGTTGGGAAACAGAAATACTCTAACGGTGAATTGAGGTGACCAAGGTGGTTCTGAATATACCATATATGTTGGGTCTTACATGTCGAGATATTGGGTGTTTTATTAATTCTGGTAATTTCTTTGAAGGCTTATAGCATACGAACCACCTGGTGTTTTTTTTATATTTGGTAGACGTGTTTCTCCACTGCTACCCAAGCGACTTGTTTATCCGTCAGAAAAAAAATGCCAGGCCCGAATTAACAAAAATTCAACATATTATTGGGCCCTCAAAAAAACACCCTGTATGTTTGAAGTTACAGAATCTGCTCAAATATCTGAAGAGAGCACAAAATGTTGAATGGATTTGTGTACTTTTTATGTTTCCACATGCTATTTTACTACTGAATATTTTCAGTTTTTCATATCGAATTAAGAAAATTTTTCAATTTTACAACTCATTTTAAAAACTAAGAAAACACGCTTTTATTGTAAACTGAGAAGTATAGAAAATAAAATGATAAAAGTTTGCTGTTATCAATCACACCAACTGACGGAAATTCTGCCATTCAATTATCAAAGACACACGCTGTATGTCAAATATGTGAGAATTCACTCTCACACTAGAATGGAAAAAAAGATGGAGGAAAAAAGAATATCATTTAAAATAATGGTTTGTGCTCTTGCACATCTGTTGACATTTTACCTCTATTTGACATCTCGTATTTGTAGCTTATGTATTTGGTAATTTAAAAATTAAACAGGCATCAGCTGGTATGAATATTTACTAAACATGAAGAACTCCCAAAAAAAAAATATTTCTTGTTTATTTTTCTATATAAAATGTGTCATTGAAGTACACCATGACGTAGTAGCTATAAATGCGAATCTAAAACAGGCGGAAAAAGAAAGTGAAATTTTCGACCTTTTTCGTGAAGTATCTCGATAAATAGTGGTTTATTCACATTTTCATTATCTTCAGAAAAAGTAATCTCGGTCCTTATGCAAAAAGGATATTTGCCTTTATTAAACTACGTTTCATAATGTCTTCAAAATTCAGAGAGCCACAGATAGAAATAATATAGCTAGACGCTTGTGATTATCACCAACGTCCGTCATTCGAATATACTGCCAAGGCCAATATCATCCTGATTGGTCTGAAATTCTAACTATGGACCATTTCAGTTGAATTCGCCTCTCTCCTGCAGCAGCCTCACCGACTCGGCCAACTTGGCAGACAGGATCCTCGTGGTCATCCGGGACCACACCTCCTGTGCCCATTATCACTGTTGCTACCTAGGCCCCCTTACAAACTCAGTTTGTATGAGTAGGTGAAGTAAACCACTTTCATGATAAATCTGGCGCCCGAGTTATCCAAAACAGGTACCAGTAGTCTCTGTCCAAAAAGGACCATAATAAAGGCCTGAGAAATAAAGGCTCATCTACAATTATTGTTTATCCGAAACAGGTACCAGTAGTCTTTGTCCAAAAAGCATCAACGTGATAAAGGCCTCAGTAATGAAGGCTCATCTACAATTGTTATTTGAGATACAGATGTTTGATATTGCTGTGAGGGTATGAAAAAGGATATAACAATATGACAGTGAAAAATGAAGGAGAAATCAGGAAGTAATTCATTGATGGACTTGTTTGAGCTTGCGGGTGTAATATGACTTCTTCCAAATATCAAGAGATACACACTTTTGTGCAAATCCCAAACATCTGTAGTTTGAAGAGACAGTAAAACTCTAATAGCTCGGAGCTCGATTCTCGCGACTGATAGATAAAAGTGGGGAACATTGGTTGGTGCGCTGTCGTAAATTTTACGACAGTGCGACCGCTGGAAGGTCAAATCTCGTTATCACGAGTTTTTTTTTTTATATTCTGGTTCCCACGAAAAGGTATATCCTGTAATGTTCAGAGAACATCGTGAGAACCAAGGAAAATAAGGTGTTCTTCTTAAATTTCTGGAGGTTATATGCCTCGGGTAACAGCTACCGTGGCAATGTGTTCCAGAGCATCGCTGTTCGTTGGATGAACGAGTCTTTGGAAAGAGATGTTCTGCAGGTCTCCAAAGTGACCACGAAGGGGTGCGAAGCCTCAACTCGACGGGTTCATCTCGCGGGGACTGCCAAGGGAGGAACAATTGTTGATATTTCAGAAGAGCATCGTCCATGAAGATATCTATAAAATAGAGCCAGATCGTCAACTTTTCTACGGTGTTCCATAGAAGTGAGTGTTTGTAAGCGAGGCATCACCCACGAGGCAAATTGACCTTTTTTTGGACAGAATTCAACAGTTTAAGGGTATGTTTGGGTGCTGCACTCCAAATACGGGAACAGTATTCCAGGACAGGACGGATCTGTGCCTTATAGATCATAAGCACTTTTAGCAATTGATCTCACGTGATTTTCCCAAGAAAGGTTATTGCTGATAGTAATACCAAGCATCGAAATGGATGTCTTCAAAGGTATGGTTACTCCTGACAAGCTTATGTTGGGCACAGTAATTACCTCAGCCAAATTCGGTCCGATGTGGGAGGCCACATCGATCCCGACCTCGTCTGCCAACGTTGCCGCCCCCACGGGAAACCCAAACTTCTTCGACAGCGAGTCCAACTCCTTCGGGTCCACGCCCTCCTGCAGAAGTCTAACCGATTCGGCCATCATGGCTGACAGGATACGGGTGGTGTAGAAGCCGGGGCCATCTCCGACGGTGATGACGACCTTGCCTTGCTTGAGGCCGACGTCGACGGCGGCGGCGGTGGCCTCTTTGCTGGTCTTGTCGGTCGTGATGATTTCCAGGAGTTGCATCTTGTCGACAGGCGAGAAATAGTGCATACCTGTAAATGGGGACGGTTACCATTTTTCTATTTTCATTTCTTTGTAGAGTTTAGGTATGTCCTTTTCAACCCCACATTCTCATTATTGATGGAAGTGATGTCACTCTCTGATGTACCGAAATGTTGGAGTCATCAGTCGTCGGCCTACTGTCAAAACCTCGTAAGTCTTTCAGAGCTAATTGTTCAGGAGGGGAAAAACGTTTACCACTAGGTACTTCGAACGATTCAATTCCATTTTTTAAGGCTATTCCCCCTTTGTAAAGGTATCTGCTTAATGAATTAAATCAACATTCTGAGAATATTTATATTCTCAATGTTCAAATTAACGACATACGAAGTATTAACAGAAAAAAATTTGACATTACTCAGACTGAATTGGTTTTGATCAATCACTAGTGAAAATTGTCATTTAGTTTGGTCTTGCTTCACAGTGCATGTAGCAAATCAGTAGCAGTTTTGATAACAATGAGAAATATGGGTTCAACAAAAATGAACCTAAATATTTCAATCAATATCTTCATTTGGAATGAACAGAATAAAATTATACAAATATCCATAACATCTTCTCAAAAGCTCCTCTACTAGATAGATAACATACAGATCAAAACCTTGTTAGTCTGTTCACATGAAGAATTAAAACAAGATTGTCCTTTGCATCACAGCAGAAATATTCGAGAAGATTGACCACATAGTTCATCATAAACTCACTTTGATATCTGACATGGATTTTAGTTCAAATAATGAATCAAACAATAGAGATTTACACTTTCTCAACAAGCACAACTTAACATATAGGGTTCTCTTGCAGACTTACCAGTTTTTGAGTTCAAAAGAACCTATTCTCTCAGAGTAGAGTTAGGAGATTTCAATTATATCTAATAGATGTCGCTACCAAAAACATAGACTGACGATGATTTGGTGATGGGTGCGCTGAATTTCGTAGATGGTGAAAATGTTCAAACCTAAAATTGACTAGAATTCGGACTTTTTGGTTTTGATAGTAAGCCGACGCAGTGTTGAAAAAACGCAGTTATTTGACATGATAATCACAACTGTGTTTGCCATTATTTATTTTTCTTCTCATGATTCGATGGTGATATAGGTTGTTTTCAATTATTAGAAGCTCAGAATTGGCTAGAAACTAATGTAACATGGAAAATAATGTATAAAAAGTGTTATTAGAGTCCTGGTCTCCAGATCTAGAAGTTCTCGCAGTTATTCTGATAGTTCCGAGGATGTGATATTGTTTATGTTGGGGAGTAGACGAGAAAGGTTGAAAAATACCAATAGATCATAAAACTTTTTACCTATAACATTTTCCGGTCTTTTGGAAGCAGCAGCGATTTTGGTGATGGGAATGGCGCTAGTATTAGTAGCAAATACGCAATGTGGAGGAACAATGGCTTCCACTTCTTTGAGCACCTTGTGTTTGATGTTCAAATCTTCGAAAACAGCCTCAATCACCATGTCAGCTTTACGGAAACCATCATAACTCAGGGTGGAGTTGAGGTTCGCCATGAATCTATCCCTTTCGAGTCTGAAAAACGAAGAAAGAAATATTGTTATCTCCATAATACATCAAAATTAATCCCTTTTTCCCTTGGTCACGCCATAGGTCGCGTGCACGATGACCGACCCTGGAGGCAAAATATTGAACCACAACCTCATTCTTCTGTGAATTATTGAAACACAACCTCACTTTTTCACTTGGTTACAGAGGAATCGAAGGATTGAAATAGTTTTTCACAATATTTAGGCATACGAATTGTGTTTTTTGCGCTATTCATTGATTCGAGCATGCCTTCGCATTGTGCTGTTGTACAATGCACAAAAAATGCAGCAAGAGACTAAAGAATATGATTTTTCAGGTAAATAGTAATCTCACATAGTTATCATTATGAAATGTTGTCATTCCTTATTAAAATTCCTTCTGCCTTCTGTCACTTCTGCAATACAAGCTAATACTGCTAATAGATTGAAAATGTCTACAACACACACGATCGTCAGCATGTCAGACCAGTCCTCCCGATTGATTGCATGAATCCAATTTTCTGGCATTATTTTAGAAATTTCAGATGTATTTCTATTAGCTTCTATCGCAGAAAGAATTCCGATGAGAAATCAGAGAAATTACCAAATTTCAAAAATGAAAACTATATGTGAGTGACTATAGTAGGTACTTACTTTCTTTCAAATCATATTGTACCTTGTACCAACCGTATTACTTCGTCTTCCGCTGCAGTTTTTGTGCATTTCACAACAGCATAATGTGATGGCATTAGCGAATTGATGAATAGCGGAAAAATACGATTCGTATGCCAAAATAATTGTGAAAAACTATTTCAATCACTTGTAAACAAATAAGTAAAGTGACGTTGAGTTTCAATATTTTGCCTCTAGTGTCGGTCATCTGACAGTTCTTGCACGCAACCCATTCGCGGTTGCCATGGTCATTTGATGACGTTGCGATGACATTCAAAAGTACGGGAAAACATTCTTACCCCAAGCATAGATTGAAAGTTAGACATGTTTACCCGTAGTTTTTAATGTCATCGCAACGTCATTCAATGGCCTTATCGACTGCTAATTACGCGTGAATGGTTGGATCATTTTCACTAACTCTTCTTTTGTTGTGTTTGGTATTGTCGGGAGAAGGTTCTTATGAAAGAAAAACATCAGGAAATTCAAGATGGCGGATTCAATATGGCGGATGAGTTTGGTAATTATGTTCCGATTCTATTCAAAACTGGTATCTGGGGGTTTTTGTGGTCGGAGATGTTGATTCTTTCCTCAACATTTGAGAATTCAAGATGGCGGATCCAATATGGCGGACGAGTTTTGTAATTATGATCTGATTTTGTTCAAAATTGGTATCTAAGGGTTTTCGGGTTCGGAGATTATGATTCTTGGGTCAAATTTTGGTAATTCAATGAGACAGGTCCAATATGCCGAACGAGTTTTTAATTATGATCCGATTCTATTTAAAATTGCTATTTGAGGGTTTTCGGGGTAGGAGATTATGATTCCTTCGTCAGAATTAGGAAATTAAAGATGGCGAATCCAATATAGTAGACGACCTTTGTGATTATGATCCGATTCTATTTAAAATTGGTATCTCGAGAATTTCGGGGTTAGGGATAATTAATATTTCGTCAAAATTGAAATATTCAAGATGGCGAATCCAATATGGTGAACGAGTTTTCTGATTATGATCCGAATCTATTCAAAATTTGTATCTGGGGGTTTTCGGAGTCGGAGATTATGACACCGTCATAATTAGAAAATTCAAGATAACGGATTTAATATGTCGAATGAGGTTTTGTATTGAATAGTGTTCTGAAAAACTAATGGAACACGCATTTATAGATAAACTAAAAAGATGTACAAAGTAAAAAGTAGTAGTAGTAGTAGTAGTAGTAGTAGAAGGGATCTCTTGGCAGCCTTCTCAATGCGTCCGCACTCTCTTCACCTCATTTTTAGCCCTCTTTCTAGTACATATTGTTTCATGAGATTTTTGTAACAAATTAAACATTTTTTTTAGCTTTCGGTGATTTATTCTTTTGCTGTTATAGCAAATGTTCCAACCCCTGAGTTTATCGATAAATTAATAACTAATATGAGTACATCATGCACTTTTACTTATAAACATTGAAAAAAATTGCCTTGTCAGGCCGCGTTGGTCGATTTTAGCTAACATCCTTTAATGCTCTTCTGGACACCAGAGCGACTTTACAATGGCCTGAAGCGTTCGAACTAATGAAAATGCATCGGCTCAGCAGGATGTTATCTAACCGAGAGAACACAATTCGTCAAATTATACATAAATAACACTAACCAATATTCGGACAAACAGTGGAGTCCCCCAAGGCAGTATACTAGGACCGATTCTATTCCTTGTTTTCATTAACAACATTACTGATATAATAGGTGCTAGTTATTCTTCAATAATAACATTATTCGCTGATGACACTAGTGCAGCAATCGCCGGTAAAAGCATACCTAATGTAGTTTATTCTGCAAATCAAAACGTAGATAGCATATTATGCTCTTTCAGCACGCAGAGTGGCCTTGTTGTAAATAAGAAAAAAACAAATTTCATTAATTTCACACCAATAGGTGTCAAACCAGACTACAGCCTTCTGCTGAAATGCGACGGTGAAAACATAATTCCAGCTGAGGAAGTAAAGTTTCTGGGTCTATAGCTTGATCCTCATCTAGCATGGGACAACCACATAAGTCATTTGGTAAAAAACCTAGCGAGCAAAAATTTTTCCATTATACAATTAAGAAATCGTGTAAATCTCGACACCCTCAAAATATATTACTATGCTGCAGTTCACTCAATAATATCATATGGACTGATTTGCTGGGGAAATTCTACAGACACCCATAAAGTTCTAACTTGGCAAAAGCGCATACTGAGAAATATGCTACACCTCAAGCCTAGCATTTTCTGTAAAAAGCATTTTCGCGACACGGGTATTCTAACTGTATATAACTTGTATATTTTTCAGTGTCTTATCTACTTGAAGAAAAATATTCACAATTTCCAAACATAGGGGAAAGAAATCACTATTGTACTAGAGCTGCAGATACAATTTATGTTCCACCTCACTCACTAACCCAAGTGAAAAATGGTCCTAAAATTACAGCCATCAAACTGTAAAATCACTTACCTCGTACAATTATTCAGATTAGCTGTTTCAAACAGTTCAAGTCAAAAATTACAATTTTATTGAAAGAAACCCCTTTTTACTCCCTGCGAGAGTTCTTTGAAAACCAATTACAACATATTTAATGTATGTAGATGTTATGTTAGTGATGTTATTACTGCTAGTATAACATAAAATGTCATTTTGGTATGTCCCGTTTCATTCTACTATTGTTCTATTCTAGTATTACGCCAGGTAGCCGTGCGGACAAAGTGTCCATATTCTAATCCGCATTCGCTTGCCGGTCGTGTGTTCGATTCCCGTCGACTGCAGAAATTTTTCTGATGGCCCAAGAAAGTGTTTGGGATCACACGTTAAAAGGTAAGGCCCCCGTCATTCCTTGCTCGCACAAGACTCTCGAAGACTTCTGAGGGTTGCTCGTAAGGGGGCAACCGAATGACGGATAGAACAATTTTAGAACAATATATTTCCTGACCTTGACAATGCCTATACTGATGTATTTCAGTCGATGGTAATAAATATTTTGTATTTGTATTTGTATAGATCAAGCTGCCGGTCAAAAATGACTGACATGGCAGAGTGTTTATTATTCAACTAAAAAAATATTTCCTAGAGATATTGTATACAGCAAAACAACGTTTGCCGGGTCAGCTAGTGTAAAATATATTCGAAATTTCACTATTAGAATATGGTCATATAGAAGATGAACAGATAATGAAAAAATTAATAAATACCCGGAGTACTTCTTCCTCTTAACAGCCCCGTCCAGTCCCGTATAGACCTGATTCACCCCCCTGGCCAGCCCAGCGCCGTTCGAGTCCTTCAGCACCACCCGGTACCCTTTGTCGACGCTGACGTGGGCGATGCCGGCGCCCATCAGCCCCGCCCCCAGCACGCCCACCGTCTCCACCCGCCTGGTCGGCTTGCCGAACCGGTTCTTCTTGCACTGCGTCTGGCCTCTGAACAAGCCGATGAGGCCGCGCGACTGCGGCGTCATGGCCAAGTCGCCGAAGGCTAGGGCTTCGGCGCGGAAACCCGCTTGGGGGCCTTTGTCGAGGCTAGTGCGGACCACGTCCAGGATCTGGAAAGTCGGGGAAATTTCAGCCGACGGATACATATATTTTCAAACGATCAACAAAGTAACCTTTGACGCTGTCAAATGCACAAAATTGTGTTTTCCATCGTATCGTTGCCACGAACCGTCTTGCATGATGAAAAATACTATCAGTTTGCTATCAAACACACCTCCTGATGTAGCAGAAAGTGTAAAAGTTGTAACTTTTCATCCCCTTTTCTCCTACCGGAGAACGCGTGTTCGTTATTGTTATTTCACGAACACTTGATTCCTATGCCTCTTGTTTTGAAAGTATGCAAGATATACACACTAACAAAAGAGTTCACTGATGAACAAGTGGAAAAAAGACTTGCCATTCTCCAAACCGAAGCTTCTGAGAGGTGCAATAGGAGACTGTAAGCAGAGATTATATGTGTGTGTGAACGCTGAGGGAGCAGCGAAACGTAAAAAAGGTTGGTGGATTGTCACTATTTTTTTCATAAGTGTGATAAATGGTGACGTCAGTGTTTATGCTGTTTCGTTATTGGTCAGCTAATCTTCCATTCCCACTCATGAAGCAAGGTTGTCAAGTCACCAATTATAATCAAGTTATCAAAAAGAAATTCAGAGTCTTGTTACTCCTGAAATCATGGTTACGCGTAAAACAAAACGGGGTCTGATGGTGAAACGAGCATCAAAGGTGCCCACAATGAGTACTGGATCTTGAAGCAGTCTACTGTGCTATTAGAATTTTAACTAGGAATGGACTTACAAAAATGTGCAATGTGCCAATGTGCATAGATTCGGGATTTTAGAACATTTTACGTTAGATTAGATAGGTTTTCGAATACAAAAAAAATGTCCTCAGAATACAACACCAATATTTATCTACAACTATGAATCAAATGTTAATGACAGTTCAATAATGTAAAGAATACACAGAAAGATGAGAATTTACTGTTTTTTGTCCTCATCTGTTGGTGATGATAAAACAAGGATTGACATTGACAATTTGATGAAAGGAAGAATTCGAGAGACCAATCAGAATATGATGCATATTCAATATTACAGTATAGATAACAAATTCTTCCAGCAGAACGTATAATATATTCCCATAGAATAGCGCTTAGCTTGAGGGTTCGGGTTCAAGATAACTTTATCATTGATTTGATATAATCAAGGGTGAGTTCAGAAATCACGGTGTTAGGCGAGATGGTGTGGTGTTGTTTGGTGTAGTGTGAAAGTCACGTGATCTTGGTGTCATTTGCTCATAGCACTGCACGGAAAATAAACGAACGCGCATTGTCGTCATGGTGCCAGTCTGACAGACAACAACAAAGAACATCGGATGTCAAATTATTTCGCAAATATAATAAATACATATTCACTGTCTTGCTGAATTCACCAACTGATCAATCTTCATCAAATGATGGATTGTTCAACGAAACATATAGGAGTATTATTCAGATTTATCAATACACGGCATGCACGCAAAGTATGTATAAAGCTTCGAGAATAGGACATCCAGATATATCAGTTGAAGAATGCTGTTATCTCCATGTGGTATTTAGCGAATGTTGAAAGTTTCAGGTGATGTTTATTGTATAGTGATGTGAATCACCTTGACCTCATACGATATCTACTAACATCGTGAATAAAATTATGTAGTACCTCTTTTTATTTTATTTTCATCCAAGTTGAATAACAATCTACAGAAAAACAATTAGCTGTTCACTGAACAAGATGATATGATAACTGGGAAATAATATTCATCATTTTCATTGACTTCTGGATCTCCTGTAGCTTTTATAAAGGAAAAATGAATATTTCTAGTATATTCGCAGGAAATGATAATGGGCACTTTGATAATTATTCTTTAAATGAGTCTTGTCAATAAAATTTTGGGTAAAAACTTTTGGTGTTCCAATATCCAGACAAAAACTGAGGAGTAAAAAGTTTGAACACTACTCGCACCTATCTTTCTATTCAGAACGTTGAATAGTGCACCCTGCACTCACACCTAATCATTAAACGAACGGAATGGTGAACACTGTGTCAAAAGACACTTTTTCATTTCCGAACTCAGCTCAAATCGCATATACATGTGTGTGGAACAAACATAAAATATTTCATGCATTAATTAATATACATGACAAACTGCCAAAGGCTATAGTGCACAAACGTAGTGATCCCTAAAATCAAATCACGGAACAGAATAAGGTGTTATCTGTTTTATAATGAGTCATTGTTCTTCTTCTCATTCTTCCTAATCATCTTGTGGACCTCAAATCAAAGCTTCTGAAAGATTCAAAGCATATTAGCGGTCAAGATAGTGAATAATTTCGGTGACTACAAGTTATGTGATGACACTTTGACGTCGCTGCCAAGCATCAAAAGATCAAGACTCACCCTCAAAGGAGCAGGGTACAACCCGCCAGACATCTTCATCACCTGCTTCCTAGCCCTTCCGAACACCTGATCCTTCACCCAGTTGTACTGCAACGCGTACCCGAGCACCTTGTCCGTCAGACTCTTCTTCCTCTCCACCTTGAGCTTCCCGGCGGCCAGCTGCTTGGCCACATCGATAGCCACCGCCTCCAGGTACCTCCTCGTGTTGGCCTCCGGTGCGTCCAGGCCCGGGCCCAGGGGGTCCACCAACAGGTCGACCACGCCCAGCTTCTTCGCCTTGTCGGCGCGTAGGCTTTTGCCGGTGAGCATCAGATCAAGGGCGGCCGGGACGGACGTCAGGCTGGGCAGCCTTTGGGTACCACCGGCACCTGAAGAAAAGTAGGGAGTTTACTCATGGGGAACTATCTAGTTAAGTGTCAGAAATTCACTACAAATAATTGAAAACTTATTAGTTATTGTAAGATACGTAAAATTAAAAATATAAATCATTGAAAGATGAACGTGGCGGCACCGCGAAGTTTTGTAGTAGCCCAGCAAAAATCTTTGTTAGAAACGTCATTTGTTATTTTTATTGTTATCTATGGTTTTCTAGCTGTTGTGTGATTAGTTTTTGGTGTTTCAGTCACTGATTTGATATTATAGTAATTTTTCCTCGAACCTAACCAGAAAAACCACGTTAACTTTATTGTGACGTCACGGTAACTTTATTATGACGTCACGGTTTACTTGTGAAGCTTGACAGATGTCAGTTTATCAGCTGTTTTTGTTGATTGTTTGGTTTGAGTAGTAATACCTTGAGTAATAGAAATATATTGATTAAGCAATTCATAATCTGTACTCAACAAAAATATATCATAGCTAGGAACTAGGTACTTGTACTTACCTACTTTAAATTCAGAAATGTTGGAAAAATTTGCCACGTACAAATTTACAATGAATCAAATATTTATTTCCATTAATAATATGATGAGATCTCAATTAATTTTTCTTATCAATTATATAATCTCAGATTATAACAACAACAAGAGCCCAATCCGCAATCCAGTACCCAATCAAAAGCCTTAACTACTCCGTGAACTACCTCAGTGAGCTGGTTTGTGTGGTTGGTTAACTATTACGTCATAGTTTGGAATACACCTCGAGGAAAATTGACTGGTTAACTTATTGTTGACCCGGTTTGTGTTGTTAACTTCGAGGAAAAATGGCTTTTAAATCTAAAGCAGGCGTCTAGGCCGGAGCCCAAGGGTTCCACCAGCAGGTCGACCACGCCCAGCTTCTTCGCCTTGTCGGCGCGCAGGCTCTTGCCGGTGAGCATCAGATCAAGGGCAGCCGGGACGGACGTCAGGCTGGGCAGCCTTTGCGTACCGCCGGCACCTGAAGTAAAGTGGGGCTTTCATTTGATTTAGACCAAGGATCAGTCCCTCTTATCCTCATTTCTGTTGTACAACACTTGTTTTACCACGATTTTTTGAACGCCTCGTCACGTGGATAAAAGCAATTCGAGATCAATCACAATTCCGTTCAATCCTAAAGCAGGATTTGTAGATTGAAGCGCAGCAAATTTCTAATTTTCTGGGCGGCAAACTATGACGTACATTCTGATTCTAGTCTGAACATAGCTCATGATGAAGAATAAAGCTAGTGAATAGCTAACGTATAAAAACGAATACAAAAAATTAAAGAAGACAACTTGGTGTTGTTTATAATATCATGAAAAATATAGAACTAACGAAACAACTATAAACTGTGGACACAGGCTAACGAATATCTAAAGATCGAAAATCGACACAAGTAAATCTGGTATTAAAAGGTGTGATCATAGATACTATTACATAATGTCATAATTTATCTTTATTAATAATCAACTTCATCTAACAAATAAGAGATTCATGAAAATTATCCATATCTTGTACATACAATAATGATGAATTTAAACTCAATGTATAATCATTGTGTAACACAGGCTCGGTCGGTGGCCTTTTGGGTATCCAATAAAGCTCTAGATACTAGACATAGAATGATTAAAATACCTTCAATATCCCATTGCTGTTATGATATAGTTATACTGCATTCAAAGAACAATATCCGGAAATCTAGACATATTGATGATGTCGGCAACGTCGTACTGCCACAGGGAATCGTATGTTAACTCTGTGTGAATGTGGTTTTTCAGAAAGTACGTCACATGAATGGTGAACGAGCCAAGTTCCTTTTTATTCATTTTTTTCTGAAGTGAAATTTGAACTTAACAAAATAAAGAAAAATAAGTAGGTACTAAAATTTTACAAACTTGACAACAAGTTAAAAACCCAGATATTGGAAACTTCCTCATTATACTACATTCCAAATAAGAAGCCAGTAATGACTGTCTGTAGGTTAAGAAGCTAGTAGGTAGCACTGTCTCTGAAGAAATGTTTATGCTATGTTCCTTATTCAACTGTCGGCAGTCTCAGTAGTGCCACTGACACTGCTGAAATTCGGCACAAATTCTACAGCAGTGAAGTGTCACTATTCAGTTATTAAAAAAATTTTTCGTATCTTTGAATAGATTTTGATGTATAAATTGGCATGTATTTCAATTTTGTTTGGAGTTTATTCTACGACCTTACCAGGCAAAAGTCCTAACATGACTTCTGGCAGACCCAGGTTGGTCTTTTTATCTTTCACAGCTATCCTGTAGTGTGTCGCCAGGGCCGTTTCCAAACCTCCTCCCAAACAGGAACCCTGGATAGCACTCACGAAAGGTTTCTTGCTCTTTTCCACTTGATCAAACACCTTCATAACAAGAAAACTATGAAAGAATGCATAATAATAATGTGATAATAATTAGACAGGCAATTTTCGATCGACATTTGAAGGGAATAAATGTTTGCAATTTGCAATATGGCGATCTGAGATTCTTACCTTCTGACCACTAGCAGACATTTCAGTGGCTTGTTCAGCGGTTTTGGTGGCCTCTATCATAGTTATGTCGGCACCTGCAATAAAGCATCCCGGCTTGCCAGAAATAATGACGCATGCTTGTATTTGGGAATTGGATTCGATCGTAGGAAGCAGGCTCTCGAATTCTCTAAAAACTTCTTCACTAAGGGCGTTGACCTATGAAAAATGGACAATAAAAAACCACTATAATGTCTATGATGCAATTGGTATGTAGTCAAATTAGTCAAATAAATGTTCAAAAGTGCGATATTTGCCAATGTACTGAAGATTGGAAAAATTACACCTATATTCAAGATAGTCAAAAAATAAAATAGAAAACTATCGTCCTATAACTGTAATATGTGCACTCTCAAAATTATTAGAAATTATTATTAATAACAGAATAAGTTGCTTTAGAGTGACACTATGGACTTCTTAAATCATGTTATAACAAACCTAGATAATAAGCAATATGTCATAACAATATTCGTTGATTTACAGAAGGCATTTGACGTAGTGGATCATGGGATGTTAATGAATAAACTAAATCTAATGGGATTGAGAGGAAAAATCTCAGATCTTCTAGGAACATACTAACGAGACCGGCAACAGTATGTATCCTTAGATAAGGCCAATAGTGCATTAACTAATGTTACGTTTGGAGTACCACAAGGCTCAGTCTTGGGGCCATTGTTATATTCTCTTCATACACTAAATCTTAAAAAAGTTCAATTGAAAGCCTGCCATTATATATTTGCTGATGACACAATCCTTGTATATGAAGGAAATAATTTAAGGGATCTAGAAAATTTGGTAAATGATGATTTGAAACTGTATGCAGAATGGCTCCTGAGCAACAAGCTAAAAATAAATGTAAACAAAACAGTTCATATGCTATTTGAAAATAAAAATAAAGAGGACCATGAGTTACTCATAAAAATCGGAAATCAAGTGATTCAAAGAGTTGAAAATACCAAATATCTAGGGCTTATCATTGATGATAAGTTGAATTGGCATGAACATGCAAACCATATCTCAAATAAAGTAGTCCCAATGATCGGTGCCCTGTATCGATGTAGTATTTATCTAAATGCACAAAATAAGCTTATGATTTATAATTCATATTTTCTATCATTCTTTTTGCTATCTTATATGAACCTGGGGTGTAAGTTGGCAAAAACTATTTGAAAAAATACAAACTCTTCAGAATAAAGTGATGAAAATTTTATTTGGATACAACTATAGAACACATACAGAAATAATATACAATGAAACAGGAATATTGCCATTAGATGGCATACTACAAATAGAACAAAGTAAGTATATCTACAAGGTACCTACAGAATAACCAACAAAAAAGTAATACAAATATTCGGCTGGTGAGCGAAACCCATAATTGCAGGACTAGAAATCGAAATCAATTTTATTTACCACATGTGAGAACAAATATAGCGCTAAATAACCCAATATATAGGTGCTTGGAAGCATTCAATACACTGTCAGAATCTATCGAAAACAAAGATAGCTATTCATCATTTGAACTAGACCTCATAGGCCTTCATGTAAATCAGCGAAATTTCTAATGTTAAATAGTGTTGAAATATTTTTGAAATGAAACTTCGATATAGTAACTGTTGTTTATCGTTATTTATTTGTAATTGATGTACTTAAAGAACATTTTATTATACTTTTTATATTTTTGTTATGTGCCATTGCATCGTCGTATATAGTAATTGTTCCGTCACCAGCATGTTGCTGATTTGGAACAAAAGCACTTAAATTTATATTGTATCTTCGTTTTCTTCATTTTCTTTTCTTTAGATATAGATATTTGATATTATGAGATATATATATTTGTACCTGAATGAAGTGTTAAATCAAAAAAAAAACAGGTAAAATACAGGGTAATCAATATAAGAATGACAGCAACTATTCAGTGGATTGTCCCTTTCTCAGGTCCTCACCAAATGAAGTTCAAATAATTTTGAACTGGAGTGAAATTCGAGAAAATTAAGATATACTCCTTTTATTTTTAACCTGTCCATCTTTGTAAATTCCTGCAAAGTAAGAGCTGCAATATGGACGCTATTTTCAACTGGATTCCAGTTAAAGCTGAAATATAAATAAACAGTCAACAGTCCTCAACCGGCTGCGCAGATATCTCTAAGAAAATTATGAACAAGGGTAATCATATTGTAGACATGTCAAAAAGTGACTGGATTGATTCAACCAATGGAAATGCGTTGTCTTGAATGCTGTCAAAGCGGCCTGTGTACTTCATAGTCATTGTTCACATTTGTTTTTTGTTTGTGCTTATTTATCATATCAAAACAAACCACTCGGAAGTGTTCAAGTTGTTACCGTCAGGTGGGGCGAATTATTATATTATATTCGCGAAGAAAATAACACGTCGCCCTACCTGACGGCAACAACTTGAACACTTCTGAGCAGTTTGTTTTGATGATGTGATCAATCAGCACATACAAAAAACAAATGTGAACCAACGAAAGCAAAGTAAAAAGGCCACTTTGACAGCTTTCAAGAACTTCGATAGGTGGCGTATGACTGATAAATGGGAGTCATTTTGACTGTTCATATGCCTGTTCCTCAAAACCATATTCTATCTAGTATGCTCCAGTCACTTCAATTTCTGCCGTGTCAACAGTCACTTGTTATGTATTGCTCACACGAAAATTCGCAAGATGAGCCATTTTGGGGAAATTTTGCTTCAAGAAATCACAAAAAGTTTTAAAAAAATCAATAAGGCCTTCAATTGAAAAAAATTTAATAAAAGTAGCTATGCATATCACATTTTAGCTTTCATCAAATAAGAGATGACATCTTCAACGAGCAGATTCCAGTTGATACTGTACTTCTCCACATCATTCTTTGAAGACACAAGCAACTCTTCTGCTTCTCGTGCACTCCTCTGCAATTTTCCTACAACTTCTTTATGCATATTCACCATCTTGTCTTCCAATCTCACTTTCACCGGCCGCTCGAAGCTTCTTTGTTTGGGATAGACGCTCATGCTGTGTGAACTGTAAAAAGTTGTAGCAGTGTCATTTATGTCATTATCAGACAACTTATTCAAGTGGCCATCCCCACCACCAAGCTCTTTGACTCTGTCGGCGTAGCGCAATGTATTCAGAGTGTTCTCACAAGAATTGACACCTGGTGACACCATGGCAATCATGCAGGTCTTGGAGTTGGCTCCCACAAAAGAATCTCGCAGAACTTGCGTTAGTTTTGAGCCGCGAAAAGGCAGATGGGCCCCCTTTCTAGCTAAAGCTCTTATGCACTCTTTGAGAGACAGCAATGACTGGTTGATTTCTGAGCCTTCAAGTCTTGTTATTTTCGAGGAAGAAAAAGTATCTGCCCCTCTTTCATTACCAGCCAAGTCAATCAAAGAGAACTTCCCGTGAAGTTTTTTGGGGTTGGCAGTGCTTCTTAGGTAAATTTGGAATATGGCATGGGATCTTGAAGAATTCAAGTTAGCTGAGGTTTGACCTGATGCACGTTCTTCATTGCCTAATTTTATCAATTGCAAGACTTCATCAACTGAATTTACACACTTTTCTGTTAGACCAACTATCTGGACTTGCTGCTTACCGTCTTCCAGAATTTTCAAGACTTTTTTGCCATTCAACAAGTCAGATACTTTTTTAACATATATCTCAAAAAAACTGCAGGACACCATCAAATTCAAGTGCTTATATTTAACTGAGACAATTTCTTTAAAGATGTCTGTAGCAGTTAATGCATAAATTCCTTTTTCCCTGTTGGAATCTGCTGAATTTCCGCTCATTGTGAAGGTCTTTCCTGATCCAGTCTGGCCATAAGCAAAACAAGTGGCAAACCCTCCTTCAAAAACTGTTCTTACCAAAGGTTGGGCAGAATATTTATAAACCATTTCATTGGTGCAATTTTCATTGAAAGTATAATCAAAAGTGAAAGCATGATTTTCAAGATACTTAGTCAAGTCCACTTTCAGCTTAGGTTCATGAATGATGATTTGGTTCTTGCTAGGAATAGTGATGATATCAATTTCTTTTTTCTGTATATCAGAGTGATTCAGAGGCCTTTTCCTAACTGCTACAGTTATCAAGTGTTCTTCAATAATGTCTCTACTTGACAAAGGTTTAAACTCAATGGAATTTTGGTACTGAGTTATCATATTCATCAGCTCCCAATGTGGATTATTCTGGTTTTTCTTGAAATTTTCTTCTTTTTCAGCTTTAACCTCTGCATGTTTTTTTCTTCTTTCAATTCTGTTTTTCTCCAATTTATTCAGTTTTTTCACAGTAGCACTTTCTTTAAATTTTGAAAGGTTTTCAATGACAGATCTATTGGTTGTAGTGTTTGGTAAATGTTTTCCTTCAACAACTAATTCTGTAGCTACAGTAGAAACATTAGTGAAATCATTATGAGTCAGCCTAGGTTTAGCAGAATGAGATCTGATGTCCTGGTTGAGAGAAGAGAACCGTCTTTTATTTTTGTTGACCAAACTGTCATCAGCAACACTGAAACAGCCTGAACTGTAGTTTTCTCTTTTCTTGCAGATTGCCACACCAGGGTTCAAAGCTGTTATGTTACTAAAATGGATTTCTTTGCCCTTTGTTTCACCATTTTCAAACCATTCCACTTTGACACACTTGAGATCATGATCTATTGATGAGACTACTGCTGCTTGGACTCTACCATCACTACGTTTAATGTTTATGGAAGCTCCAATGGAGAATGTGCTCATAATAAAAGTGTTTCTTTTAAAATTATTAAAATTTGATTGACTGATGTCATTTTTTGATATAACAACTCATGGAAGACAAGATTTTTATTGATATATTCTTTGTATAATGGTGGGAATATCATGTAAAAAATATAACATATATGTAGCAATAATTTACATTTTAGTGATGTGGATTTATGTAATAAGACTACTCACTTTTTCTCCAGGTGAATCAATTGTTATTACTCCTACATTGTCAACTACCTTCAATTTGAAATGCTTGAGTTCTACTGAAGATATGCAGCGAGCTTGAACTGAAATTATAAAGGGAATATATTTCTCCAAATTTTGAATTGACTTGAGGAATTGACTATTGAAGTTAAATAGTACAAAGTACAACTTCCAATTGAAAAGAAACTACCGGAATAATCTTTCATATACAGAATATTACTTACATTTACTATTGAATTTGATTTTATTCCTAGAAATTCTCGAAAGAGCCCCAAACAGTCGTAAGGAAGACATGACTGGTTAACTAGGACAATGTAATCACACCTCAGTCGATCCCTATCAGCTAAGCCGTGGACGCCGTGATCAACTAGGTTCAGATATCCAATGAAGAATTTTAATGTAAAATGAACTTTGTACCCAGAATCTGTAATTTGGAAGGAGACTGACTGCAGGAAAATATTTTTTGTTTTCAAACACTTAACCTAACAAAAAATGTCAACAAATAGGTCGCGTGCAAGAACTGTCAGATGACCGACCCTGGAGGCAAAACATATTTGTTTACAAGTGATCGAAATAGTTTTCCACAATTATTTAGGCATATGAATCGTATTTTTCCGCTATTCATCAATTCGCTAATGCCATCACACTGTGCTGTTGTAAAATGCACAAAAACTGCAGCGGAAGATGAAGAAATCCGGATGGTACATTATGATTCAAAAGTAAGTACCTACTATAGTCACTCACATAGTTTTCATTTTTGAAATTTTGTTATTTCTCTGATTTCTCATCGGAATTCCTTCTGCAATAGGATCAGCTAATAGAAATATACCTGAAATTTCTAGAATAATGCAAGAAGATTGGATTCATGCAATCAATCGGTAGGACTGGTCTGACATGCTGACGATCGTGTGTGTTGTAGACATTTTCAATCTATTAGCAGCATTAGCTTGTATTGCAGAAGTGACAGAAGGCAGAAGGAATTTTAATAAGGAATGACAACATTTCATAATGCTAACTATGTGAGATTACTATTTACCTGAAAAATCATATTCCCTAGTCTCTTGCTGCATTTTTTGTGCATTGTACAACTGCACAATGCGAAGGCATGCTTGAATTAATGAATAACGCAAGAAACACGATTCGTATGCCAACATATTGTGAAAAACTATTTCAACCTTTTGATTCCTCTGTAACCAAATAAAAAAGTGAGGTTGTGTTTCAATAATTCACAGAAGAATGAGGTTGTGTTTCGATATTTTGCCTCCAGGGTCGGTCTTCGTGCACGCGACCTATAAAAACTGTGGATGTGTCCAGAACTGTCAGTTTGTCAAATGACTCAAGTCAACAAATGTCATTTCTCACCATTTGCGCTTGATTCAGTTTCACCATAGATATGTCCACAACCAAAGAACGATTGTAGCAATGGTGGTAAATTCAAATCTCTGATTTCGTTTGTGTTACCAGTGCTCAGAGAATGTTTTTTTTTTAACTTCTGGATCATACGAATGAAATGTATTCGTTAAAGATCGTGCGTACCTTAGGAAGGATAAGTTCTTGTGAATGCTTCCCTCCTCTACATGAAAATAATAATGAATAATAATAAATGATCTTTACTTTAAAGAGGGCAATTGACAAATGCCCTTCAGCCCATAAAAATGATTCCGATGCTCTATTTTATTTTAAACATCTCAGTTTCAGAGTAAATATCTGAATTTTCAAAATTTTGTTCATTTTTCAAATCTAGATTTCCTTTTCTTCACTGTTAGATCACAACAATTTTATTCGAATCATGTTTTTTCGATACTGTCTGTGCAGGTTAATCGAGGAGGTGGTACATTCATTTTACTTGATTTTTTGGGATTTTCTCTCCTCGTTTCTATAAAATAAAAATATGTGTATTGTGTATTATTTCAATATATTTGTAGGGGGACAAATCAGATGATTTGTCCCAAAATGTCACTGCGTTTAACAAATATTTCTCTCAGGGAGCCTAAAAGAAAATTCCAGTAGCTTATTGTGTAAAGGAATCAAAGGATCGAAATAGTTTTCGCAATATTTTGGCATACGAATCGTGTTTTTGGGGGCTATTCATTAATTCAAGCATGCCATCACATTGTGTTGTACAATTCAGAAAAAATGAAGCGAGAGACGAAGGAATATAATTTTTCAGGTAAAAATAGTGATCTCACATAGTCTTCATTATAAAATTTTGTCATTTTTCATTAGAATTCCTTCTGCCACTTCTGCAACACGCACACGATCATATTTCATCAGCATGACAGACCATAGTCATCCCGTTGGATTGCATTAATCCAATCTTCTTATTGCCTTCTTTTCGAAACTTCAATTATTAGTATTTCAATAGCTTCTATTGCAGAAGGAATGACAAAATTTCAATATGAAAGCTATATGTGAGTGACTATAGTACTTATTTTAGATCACAAGAATGTACCTACCTGAAAATGAAATTTCTCCGTATCTCGCTGCATTTTTTGTGCATTGTACAACAGCACAATGAGATGGCATGCAGCATGCTTGAATCAATGAATAGCCCAAAAAACAAGATTCGTATGCCCAAGTGCGGTTGTGTTTCAATGTTTTACCAAAGAGGGGAGGGGGAAAGAGTTTTCACTTGGAGTATTTATGAATGAAATAGTAAAACCAAAGAGGAGAACTCTAACCTACTATTCTTTGGTTTTACCTCCAGGGTCGGTCATCGTGCGCTGTAAGACTTGTACGACACAATTTTGACACAACTCAAGGTAACATTGTGATAACACTGATAACACTCACCGAGTGGCCAACGTTATGCGAGAGATGTGTTATGCGCATACGAAAGTCTCAAAGCAAAATGGAATAGTAGCCGCTTTAGTTACCAAGCGCCACTTTTCCACTTTCTGATTGGTCTGCCAGCTGCCTTACTTACTTGGCCACGGTAGAAGTGAATTCCTGCCAGAATATCTTGAAAAGACAGTTCGACTAGGCACTCTAGGCAGTATTAACAGAAATGGATGTCAGATGTCAGCTCAAATGACTTTTGACTCTTTTGAGTTTGTCTTTTATAAATTTTTTGAATATTTTCGAAAATGGATAGTGGTGATGGTGATCATAATATAGTTCAAGATGAGGAAGAGGTTCTTAAAAGACACAGGCAAGAGAAAAAAGACCTACAGTCAAAAGTGCAGTCCATGAAAAAAGGTGTACCAAAAGGTGACAAAAAGAAAAAGAAAGAAATTACAGAAGAAATTGCCAAATTGGAGAGTGACTTGGAAGTAAGACATCAACAGGAGCTCAATGAATTGAATAATATATCAGAAAATTGTAATATCATTGATAACAATTCAGGAGCTGATGAAAGTTCTGAAGAGTCTCTGGATACCAGAGAAATAGAAACTTCAGTTTCAGTTAATAATAGCCGTATATCAAGAGCCCAAAAACGTAGAAATAAGAAAGAAAGTGAAGCCAAAGAACGTGAGAAACGAATTGCAGAACAATCTGAAAAGAATAAAGATGGTCCAAGAAATATTGAAACTAACTCTATTAAGCAAGCCCTAAAAACAATGAACCTCAAACTTTACAACATACCAGCTGATGGGAATTGTTTGTACCTAGCTGTAAATCACCAACTACAAATCACAAGTAGGCCAACTCATTCTGTGAATGAATTGCGTAAAGTTACTTCTGAGTTTCTAAGAAAAAACAAAGATGAATTTCTTCCTTTTATGTGCAATGAATTAGATGAATCTGAAATAGTTAGTGAAGAACAGTTTGAAAACTATTGCAAAGATGTTGCCACTACTAAATTGTGGGGTGGGCAATTAGAACTAAGAGCTCTATCAAATATTCTTAAGTGTCCTATCAAAATTATTCAAGCCACTGGTCCACCTACACTACAGGGTGAAAGTTACAAGAGTCCTGAGTTGATTTTGACATACCATAGACATTTGTATAGGCTAGGAGAGCATTACAACTCTACTTTACCACTGACAGGGGAAGATGATGCATAAATTAACAATATTCATGGGAAAATCAACAAGATGAGTTACTTGATATGTTGCATTAATTCTGGTAAATGATTTTCAAGAAACCAAAATTGCAACCCAAATAATTGAATTATTTATTGTTGAATTTGAAGATAATTTACTGGTCAAAATTTAGAAACACTGTTAAGGTGGCAACCATTGTTTATTTTAATTAAAAAGTTTTGTTGTTTACATGATTCACATAAATTATAATAATAAAGAACAGTGTAAATAAATATGTGAAATAAATATGAGTTGACACCTTTAACTAATTTTCTTTGTTTTGGATACTTTCCTCATCCTTATGCTTATTTGGATCATCTGGTTTCATAGCTGGGAATAATAGCACCTCCTATAAAGATAAATTTCTATCAAAATCACCTTATATTTTTTAGATGGAAATGGGAAAAAATGGCCTAAAGATCATAAATATCATCAATATCTTTGAAGGGTAGATAAGGATCTTCACTGTAATTCCAATAAGTTTTTATATTATCAAAAACACTCATAAATCAAGATATAACTCAACAGTAATAATTCAAGACATAGTAAACTTTGAATAAAATTTGTAATAGCTCAAAACTATATACAAGGTGAGTCAAAAATGTGTACCAAGCTTTCTGGAGTTTGATAAATAAACTAATATCACAAAATGTATATTAAGGGAGATATCATATCCTTCAAAAGTTGATAAAATTGAAATAATTTTCTAGCATAAACAGTATAAGCCACCAGATTGAATGAAATTTCTTGCACAAATATAAGATACATCCTTCTGATACACCTACATTTCTGATATTGTTATAAAGGGTGTTATTACTGTTTTTAGAGGGTGGATCATGATTTTTTGAGAAAAGAATTTTTCCTGGTGTTCTTTTTGGTGAAAAACTGGAATAATTTCATAAAGCAAAAACAAGTGAAAAAAAATTTTTTGAAAGGAAGAATAGAGATGGTGTCTGGAAATCAACTTTGGAAAGATATACTTCCTTAATATACATTTTGAGCCATTAGTTCATTCATCAAACTAAACTATCACCTCCACAAAGCTGCATACACATTTTTGACTCACCCTATTGATATTTAATAATTTTCCTTGATATAATATATGATGAGGAATACAAAGATCAGGAGTACCCCTATTGTATTGCATTTTGTTGATCAACTAACCTTTATGTTGTTATTGTCTGTCAAAAACATCGTCAACCTGTCAATTCCCATACCCCAGCCTGCCGTGGGCGGCAATCCATACTCCAATGCCTTACAGAAGTCTTCATCAACCAGCTGTGCCTCATCATCTCCGGCAGCTTTATCGGCTGCCTGCTGTTCAAACCTCTGTCTCTGAACAATGGGATCATTCAACTCTGTATAGGCATTACATACTTCTTTTTTCATGACAAATAATTCGAAACGTTCTGTCAAACCTACCACAAATGAATAGCAATAAGTTGAATGATATTGAGATAACCTTTGAGGCTGAGTAGAATATCAATGAATTTTTGAATTTCAAATCCTAATTATATTTTGAAAGGAGAGTACTCATTTCAGGAAGCAGACCACTAAACTCGAGAATACAAGCCCAAGAAATACATAAGTCCTGATAATTTACTTGAAGTCTGGTATATTATACAACTAGAGATAAGATATAAGATGGCATGCTGAAGAATAAAGTGATTTCCATGTGAAGTCCCAATGAAATATGTGAAGCTCCAAGAAATATTAGAAGTTTTCATGAAGTCTAGATACATGCCTTGAAGTAAGTATGGATTACTGTGGTGATATATCAATGAGTCATACTGAAAAAGTTCCTGAAATCTTTACTGTGGAATTCTAAATAAATACATGTGATGAAGTTGGTGTGAAGTCCCGATGATTTGTCAGTTATGGATGAACTTGAGGCATCATGAGGTATTGATGAAATAATATAATGTGTAAGCATGTAATACAAGCAATTGAATATTGATGTGTTCTTTGTATCATGTTCTTGATGAAGATCTGAATGAATCTCCATGAAATACCAATGAAGCCTGTGTAACCATGAAGAAGAAATATTGTTTGTTCTCATGAAGTCCCTATACATTCCATGAAATCCTCAGGAGTTCTGTGAAATTTCAATGAAATACATGATGAAGTAGGTGGAATCTGGATGATTTTTGTCAGTTATGGATGAATTATGTGAGGCATGGATGATTAAGCCTGTAATACAAGCAATTCAATATTGACAGAAGTGTGTGAAGTCTCTATAAAGATTGCATAAAGTTCTGATGGAATCTCCATGAAATATGCTTGAAATCTTGCTAACATACATTTCTCTAAAATCCCAATAAGTATGGTTGAAGTCTCATTAAAATCCATAAGTCTTGATGAATTACATGGAATCCTTTAAGTAACAATGAAGGCTTGTCAGTGGTCTACCCCTTGGAGAATATTGAAATATATCCCAATGTCAAGTTCAAATTCATGAGAAATTATGAGATTAACAAATTTACCTGGTATTGATCTATGCCACTTAGCAAGGGGGCTCATAATTTGAGGATGTTCCATAATGAAGGATGGATTAATGCACTGTTCCTCAATAAATTCACCAACAAGTTTGTCCAGCAACCTTGCTGTAGTCCTTGGAGCAGGACATTCTACATTGTGCTTGATACATAAATCACTCAAAAATTTATTAGCAGCTTCTGAGGATAATTCAGTAGCTGGGGGAAAAGTGACACCTAGAGCTTCTTCCAGTGCTGGGAACATACGGATACGCTTGAATGGAGGAGTAAAGTCAATCTCTACCTCTTCCCCCTCTGGACCATCAGGGTGGTATTTTACTTTATAAGTACCATGGATGCTGTGGACCATGCCAGATACCATAGATTCAGTTAGAACAATCAAGTCATTATAGTCAGCATAAGCCATGTAGAACTCACATGTAGTGAATTCTGGATTATGTGTCAAATCTATACCTTCATTTCTGAACTGCCTACCAATTTCATACACCCTATCTAAGCCACCTACAACTAGTATTTTGTGGTACAATTCAGGAGCTATACGCATGTACAGGTCCATATTGAGATCATTATGGTGTGTGATGAAAGGTTTAGCTGTGGCACCACCAGCTATCATGTTCATCATGGGGGTTTCTATTTCCAGAAAACCCATCTCATCTAAGAATCTCCTGACATATGCTATTATCTTTGCTCTGATTTCAAAAATGTCACGTACTCTATTGTTCAGTATCAAATCCAAGTACCTCTGTCTAAACCTAGTTTCTTTGTCTTTCAGTCCATAATGTAAATGGGGTAACATATGGAGACAAGGTGAGAGTAGCTTTATCCTTGTAGGGATGATGGAAAGCTCTCCTTTCTTAGTTTTGCCAGGAATACCTTCAACACCTATTATATCTCCTCTTCTAATTTTGTCTAGGTCTTCAGTGAACTTCTGTTCATCTCCATATTGCCTAGCTGTAGCCATAATTTGTATCTTAGTTCCCTCTCCTCTGAGGTCATAGAATACAAGTTTGGAGCTAGACTCTCTGATAGCATGTATACGTCCTGCTACACTGAGAGTCTCAGATTCCAGTGACTCACCTTCTTTCAAATTACTGTATTTTTCTATAAATTCTTCTAGAGATGTTGATACATGGAATTTGTGTGGATAAGGAGAGTTTTCACCTCCCAGGGTTTTGAGATTTTGAACAGCAGTTGTTCTAAGTTTGAAGTACTCATTTGGGCTGATTTCTTCATCTGAATTTTTTTGCTCTTTTGGTTTTTGAGCTTGGACAGGCTGTTGAGCTACCTTTTCAGATTTTTCCTTTGCTTTTTGTTCAGCTTTCAATCTCCTCTTGACTTCACTGAAATTAATAGCATAGGTATAATTAGTTCCAGCTGAAAAATGTTCAAACATAGGTACCTAGAACATTTTCGAAAAAATCTGTTGTCAGTTCTGACTAAATTTTTCCACAAAAGATGAAAAGTTTGGATCATCTTTAGGTTAGGATTGTACTTATTATTTTAAGTATTCAGGGCATTCATGTATTTCCAAAACTTACTTTTTCGAAAGAGTTTGACTATCAGCCATCGTTGGTTTAAGGTGTTATATTATTACAAAATATAATAATATTATAGCACGGCATGCACTTGTGTGACTTGTGCAAAGCTGGTGCAAAGCAACATCAATGAAATTATGAAATGCTGCGAAGTGCGAAATGCAAATGAAAGATCCGATCGGCCGGATCGGTGATCAGTGTTGTTCCTGGGGTCTGATTTTTTCGTAATAGATTTCTTTGGAAAAAGGTAAAAGATTTGTATCAAAAGGTAATAGACTCGAAAAATCCAGTGAACTATACCCTATAGTTCAGTGGAAAAATCTGACATTTATCATTTTGAATGTCATTCTTGTCAAACCCTATCGCACAAATCCGGTTGAACAGATCAAAATGATGAAATGATGAAAAACACACAAGCGTCTAGCAAAACCAGTGAATCTTTCAAACCTCAAGGTTATCAGAAGGTTATTCGTGTTTATAAGACTTATAATGAAGAAAAATATGTCTTCTGCATAAAAGAGGAAAGTACTTTCGACCTAACTTGTCCTAAATGAACCTTTTTTCTGAAAAGTATATTTTTGGAAAATTAATTGAGAGAAAAAGATTGAAGAAAAATTGACGCCTCGCAGTAATTGAAACACAGATTGCGTGGAAGTTATATTCAGATACACTAATTACTTGTTCGTAGCCATATATCTACTATTTCTATTTCACGACTTTCACGAGATGGTTTTTCTATATAAAAGGGCGCCGTACATTATGCCAAATGCCATTTACCAGCAAGTTCGATGCAATGCAATTTTGAATCGAACAATGCGCATGCGTCTATATTTCACAGCAAGTTTCATGCAAGTTTCGTAATAGAACCAGTCCTATCATTCCTGCAATTTCAAGGCAAGTTTAGTAAAATTTTTAGTAATATTCATCGTAGCATCGTGATAAAATACAAATTTTCTCCATAACGAGGCCTGAAACACCGAACAACCTCAAAAAGTACATTGAAGGCTCAAAAAACCTGGAAATAGTGAATATGAACAAGAAAATATGACAGAAATATATCAATGTACGGCGACTTGCAATAAATTGAGAAAATCGCGAGAAAATTGCATTGCCTCACACTTGCCGAGAAATAGCATAATGTACGGTGCTCATATTGAAGAAATAAAAAATAACATGTGTTCTCATCATAATAATTTTTTCCTCAAAATAATGACTTTTTTTCCATGATAATGACTTTCTCCATTAAACGGAAGAAATTCATTATGAGAAGAAAAGTCGATATAATGAGAAGAAAGTCAATATAATGGGCAAAACTCATTATAATGAGAAAAAAAGTCATTATAATGACTTTTCAAATCAAGAATGAGTGACCTGCGTGACCACAGGGTGCTTTCGTATATAATCAATCCATTGTTCCACCAAAGAATATAGGTTAGTCCCCTCTCCTCTTTGGTTCCACCGTTCCAGCAAAAATTCCATCAAAATAATTGCTGACGTCATGACAAAAAACCGCATCTAACAGTGCGCACTTTCTTCAATGGAATGAAAAACACGCTCAATCTGTTTGAACCCAAGGATTATACTACAAGTTCGAACCGTCCTTATAAGTCCTTATAATTAATCTCTCGAAAAAATACTGTCTACACTTATCTATATAACATTGTCTGAACACCTGTATATGGTAGATGTGAAACCAAGAAAAAACACTAGCGTCTATAGCGTAGCCACAATCTTCATCGGTTGCGGCATTTGACAGCCAGGTTCCAGGCTCGTTTGACGTATTGAATTGATTGTATTGTTATTTACTTTATGTAAACAATGAAGAGAATTCGGTTGACTAGTAATATTTATTTTTAATTAAACAACAGTTATTGTTTGAATATGTCCTAATCACTATCTCCCTAGTTATAACTCGGTCTTGTCAAGGCCTTAAGTACCTAGGTTTATAGTAGTTTTAAATTGATCAAAATGTTCAACAGTAGCCTATTATATGAAAAGAGGCCACTGAAGAAACCTCGAATAGGTCCTCCTGATGTATATCCTCAAGAACCAAAGCAAAAAGAGGATGAACTCACCAGCATCAATGTTAAACATGGGTTTCCCACCATGACCCACCTTAGTGATGAATTTGGAACTGCAAGAAACTGCAATGTAACTGCTAGTAAGGTAAATCCTCCTTCTCTATACAGTGATTGTTTCACTTAAACGGAATTTACGTATTTAGGTTGGGGCATATTTCAATGCCATTATTGCAAAGAAAGAAGAATTGTCTATGTTGCCAGATTCTGGTCGAAAAAGGCAGCAGATCAATCCCAAAGACAACTTTTGGCCTGTAACTAACAGAACAAAAACTCACATAGAGGCATGGTTCAAAGACCTATCTGGCAATAAACCTTTGATGAACTTGTCAAAACGTGCTCCCAACTTTAATAAGAAGGAAGAGATTTTTATGATGCTAACTGAACATCATGTTCCAATGCTCAGAGCTGCTTGGTTCATCAAACTGAGTTCTGCTTATACAGTGGCTGTATCAGAGGCCAAAATCAAAAAAAGACAAATGCCTGATCCTACAACTGGTAAGGTTAACAATCAAAATGGATAATTCATGTCCTTATTTTCATTTTTTTTTCTAGAATGGACAGGCACAACATTGAAGTTTCTAAAAGACCAAATACCAAAGCTTCAAGAATTCTATTCTCAAGCTGATAAACCACCTCCACCTAATGCCACTCTGAATTCTATACACACAAATGAAATTGAACAAAAATTAGCAATGAGGCATTGGTTATACTGTACCAGACTTCTCAAATACATGTATGAAGAAGGTAATTGTTTCTCATGTGCAAATTGTTAGGTGTATCTTCAAATATTGAATTAATTGTAGGGTTAATGGATAGACAAGAAGTACTTTCATGGATTCTTGAACTACTAGAAAAACAAAAAGCCCAACAACCAGCTGATGATGGCATCTTGAGAATATTCCTACCACTTACCTTACAGTATTTAGATGAATTTGTGCAATCTGAATTGCTCTCTAGAAGACTTGCACATTTCTGTACAAAAAAATTAGGGACCATGTTGAATAATGTTGCAGAAACCAACTTGATGACTTCACCATCAAGTGAGAGTAAAACTGAACAGAAAGATGTTGATAAAGAGAAGAAGGAAAATGTTGCTCCAAATCCAATTCAGAGTACATTAATGGAGTACAACAATTGCCCACATCATAGAGATATCAGTAAGTACAACAAGAAGAGCAAGTTTTGTGTGCTTTGTTGGTATATTATGGTTTGTTGAAAACAAAATTATTGTTTTGTGAATAGAATATTTGCTTCATTTCACCATAGTAATGTCAAAAAGTGATGTACAATGGTTACAAAACTAGATCCAGAACAAAACTAATGGCACATTTTCATGCCAGCTTATGCTATAGCAGGATTGTGAGGATTTAAATCAAATTTTATAAATTGCTGTAAAAACAAGTTGCCAAAGCAGATAACTCATCAGGGAGTTGAAAAAAGATGTTTTTTTCTGTGAGGGGAAAAAGGTTTCACATTTCATCTCTCTTAACAGGTTACAAAATGTCACTCCATAAATTATTTTTTTCTTACAGGGAAAAATTGAGTACTATTTTCCTAGATATACATGTGCACTATTGATGGCTTTTGTTGTGCCAGTTCCAAAAAATAAGCCAATAACACCATCTCTGAGAAATAACTGAAAGTCCTTTTTCATTCCATTCCACTGTTACTAATTTTTTAAAATCAAAACACAAAATTAAACTGATACATATTCCATTACTTCAAAAGGTTTCCATAGCAACAATAAAGATGCCTACAAAAAAATGCCTGCAAACATGGGTGTTCTACCAGTTAAAAACTTCTGATTCTCTGATTTTATGATCAATGTTGAATCATCGTTTTTCCTATCATAGAAAAAATTGTGTATTATATACACTGGAAATATTAGATTTTAGATCTTGATTTTTTGTATCCCTCTGCTATGGGTGGCCAGACAACACAACCTTGAGCTAAAATCTAATACTTTTTTCCTTGTATAATGAATAACTATTAAAACTAAGTGTTTACATATGTTATTCAAGTGTAAAAACTAATTTTCTTGTTCTGCCAGAATTTCAGCACAAGTTTTTTGTTTGTCACTAAGAAGATTTTTCTAACAGAGAATCAAGATGAAAAATATTCTTGGGCAAATAGCGAAAAATGATGTGAATATGTGAATTCAAAGTTCATTATTTTCATCAGTATAGATGGAAAAAGATTGTAAAAATCAGAAAAATCATGATTTAATCAAAAAATCTGTTTTTTTTTTTCAAATTAATTGCAATATAGCAGATAGCTTAAATAAAATGGGCTCACTGTTCACATGAAAAAGTTGGAAAGTGACTTTTATTGCCACATGCAGTTGAATTGCAGGTGCTGTACATCCTTTGTAAACCACAATTTTTATATTATTTATACAATACACCACAACTGTTTCCCAAACTGCATAATATGATGATATAGCACCAATTTCATAAATAGTCATGTGGTTCTTCAAGCAGTCTGAGCTTTTTTCCGCAAAAACTTGCGTTGACAACGACTTTATAACCTAGATATGCCTGGAGGTACGCGCTTTCTTACAAATTGGCCACTGATATGAGAATATGCTGTACTCCAAAAAGCAAAAAACCAGCATGTGAAAACACCTAGAGGGTTTTAAATTGTTCTTGCTCAAATTTTCAATATTTAGGCAATCTAACTTAGGTTAGAATCAATATGGCGCCTGCTGGCACACCCACTGAACAAAAATTCAGGGATAATGATGAATAATTCCATTGTGTGGGAACAGACGCCTAGTTTGACATATTCTATCTAAATGGAAAACCTAGTAGGCGACCTAGTATGTGAGGAGGTACAAATTTGTCTGTTCAGTGAATCAAAATTTTTCATGCCTGTCAAGTGGCGCTGGCGAACTGATAATGGATAGAGCTCATTTGTTTTTGTCAAAATAAACAATCTCTTCTTCTATTCTCATCCAATCTGTACTCAGAGACTTGATATTTGATACAAAGGTGATAAATATAGTTATTAATTATAGAAGGTGTTGTCTTCCGACGCGTATATTGCGGCTGGAGACAAAAAACCGTGAGCTAGAATCTAATATTTTGCCCGAGTATAATCGTATTGAAAACATACTACATTCAAAATAACAAACCTGTATCAAGCACCTATATTATCATTCGTATCCAGTAAGATAGCTATTGCCTCAGGGCAGTTTTGACAAAAATTTTACTAAAGTGGCTTAGAGATGTTACTAAAAATACTCGCTATGAAGTGTTAAAATCCACAATTTACAAATGAAGATACGAATTTGGATTTACAATTTATTTTGTGGTTGAATGATTCCTGAAGTCTTTTCATTTCAAACATAAGATCATAGTGTTGATTATATATTGAAGTTTAAAGGTTAAAAACATGTACAGCTGAAACTCATCCATTATGCATATTAGGGTTGAATTCACTCCTTATCACCTTCCCTATCACATCTCCAATGGAATGTATCGAATTACCAGTAACCCTGTATAACATGGTCAAATAAACTACTCTACCACAGTATATTATCCTTTCATGAAAGGATCATCTGTGACTCTACTCTACTCTATGTCGAATCCGTGGTCACGTGACCAAATGATTCTTGGCATCTCTGATGGGATTTTCGAATATCACTATTACTTTGATGAGATCTTCGGTTCCTACCCGTCTGTAACGATTCCCCCTTCAGTTCTCCAGCTCAGCGACATCGTCCAAACGATCAGCCTCGAATGCCCGACCGCCCTAGTTTGGTGCGGGGCCGGCGCGGGCACCATCTGGTACGGCTCGCCGCTCGACCATCTGCCCATGCCGCCCTCCCAGCTGCCCGTGCCGCCGCGGTGCGATATGACCGGCTACAGGAAGCAGATGCTCTACGCCGAGCATTGCATCAAGGAGCGCAGCAAGCGGGCCGAAGGTCGTTGGTGCACCGAGAAGTGGCAGGCGTCGTCTGCAGGTGAATGTTCGATAATGATAAGTGAGGGACAGGCCTGTTTCTGATCGAAAATATATAGTACTAGATCACACTTCGAAAAAGTACTAGAATTGGGAAAGTACTGTAGGGTGATTCTATTTCACGAATCGAGTCGAATCAGCCATCTTTATTCGATAATTGGTATTCTGCAGGAGGATTCTGTTTCACGATCGTCGATTGTCGTACGATACGATGATGAACTCGAAGTCGAATTCATTTCCTATTCTATTTCTCGATCAAGTGGCGATCAAATTCGACTTCGGAAATCGTCGGTTTTTTGGCAAAATGAGATGAGATTTTGATCCAATGAAATGAGCACCGAGGCCATAGCCCCAAAGCCATCAAAAATGAGGTTATATTATTTTTATGTCCATTTTCCCTAACACACAATTGACACATTTTCTCAATATGTCTTAATACAGGAGGCACAACAATCATGCAGAACTTCGTGCACCAACAGAGACAGTTTTCCAGAAATTACAAAGACTTCCTTTAATGATTTTGAATGCATTAAGACGTAAAATGGACATCAATTCGAACAATTCAATGAATGAGTTACTGAATAATTTCGAAATTCAATTGTTTCAGTAAATATTCAATCAGGTGCTAATTCTACATTATGAACTTCTTATTACTATTCATTTGTTCATTTTTATATGAAAAATCCATAGCCCACTATTAAAATTCAATGATTCAGTGACTTGGTGCATTTTTGAACATTTCATATTGATACATTATACATCATTTTCAAGGTAAAAAATAAAGAATTTATTGAACTCATGAAATACAGGCTGTTCCATTTAAAAAATCATAAGTTTGAGTCGTATCTGCAAACCATGCCCTGAAAAAAAATTAGAGTGCGCCACTGGATTTTGCGTAAAATTCTCTATGGGATTAATTTGACATTTTCGCTGAGAAACTTCGTAGATATGGATGGGGTTCAAAAAGTATAAATTTTCAAAATCTTCCTGTATCTCATAAGTAATAGTTATGCAAAATCTGATTTGGCCATCTCGAGTTTCACAAAAAATGGCACAGGACAGTGAAAACTGCAAGGTTGTATCTCCAAAGAGAACTGAGATATCACGCTAAAGCATCGAACACGGGACACACTGTACATTCCATGTGGGTATGCATAGTGCTCCCAAAAGCTCTGAAGTGAACTTTTTTTTCCATATCAATCACCCTTTACTTTGTTGAATTAAGAGTTATCCTCTTTGGAGAAGATATTACCGAAATAGCAACTGGAGAAGGTGTAATTCGTTTTTTATTCAACTGCAAAGTTATGATATTCATAATATTCATATTGATTTCTCAAAATAAAATGCGCTTCTCTTATTGAAGGAACAGTTACTACGAGAGTTTTAGCAGCTCTTGATGCTCTAGATAGACACCGTTTTGATAAAATGGATGCCACGAATTCTTTGGACACCCTATATGCAAAAGTGAGTACATTACATTCCAAGCCGTATTTGTTGTTATTTATATCCGCCTCAATTAGCCCTTATTATTATTATTTATTCTCCACCAATCCGCGCCACCGAAACATGAGGTCAGGGTTGGTAGAACTGATAAATATACTTCTTATTTTTGTGTCATTTGGCTATTTGCTATTATCTTCTTCTCCGTTAATGTGAGAATAGGTCGTAAAGTTCCACATTGGAAGTAAAAAAACGTAAGTCTGCTCAAGTCTATCCATAACTTTCTATTTGTTCAAATATTCAACATAATGTTTTTCGAATATTAACGATGAAACAGGCAAAATTTTTGGATTTTTGACTTTGACGTTAACCTCATGTTTCAGTAGCGCCAACTGGTGAGAGTGAAAATGTTAGCTTCCATTGCGACCATGTGACATAGGGACATAAGAAATTTAATTTTGTTCGGAAAACCCTGAAAAATAATTATTTAACCAACCAGTGTATTGATGAGTGCGATTAATTTGCTGGCACGTTAATGTTCGAGATCATTAATCGCCATTTTATACGAGTTGGTTAAAAATTACTATCTTTTTAGAAATGCTGATTCATTTACTATACATCGTTCATCCAAATTCCAAGGTTGCTTTGAATATATTGCACCTACGATGATAAATATGTATGAAAATTTGTTCAGTGGTACTCTAGATATGAAAATGTTCAAAAAATCATTCAAACTGCATATACTATCAATGAACCAATAATATGCACTGTATAATTTTAGTGTTGTCTCCAACTTATTATTTTGATTTTGATTGTTAATCTCATTATTCATTGTCATGTATTGTCATGTAATGCTCACCTCATGTAGGTGCAGTATTTGTATATTAATCCCTGTGATTTGAATCATCCAAGGCAAATATGAAAAATGGCTTGCCAACTATTTGCCTTTTGAAGTACAATGATATTTAAACACATGTATTTTTGTTATTTTGTACTTCAATAAACATTATTATTATTATTATTATTATTAATAACTAACACCCTATATGAGGTACTGCGTTCAAATTCTGTATGAAGGCATCTCAGCTATGTCTGAATCGAAAGGACTAGTTACTGTTTCGATGAACAAATGCCTATTAGTCGTTTTTAAAATGTTGACACCTTCAACAAACAAAAGTAGGCATTGAAAACCTGAATACTAATTTCACATTGGTCCACATTTTCGAATGAAGCTCGTTGAGTAATACATCATGAAATTTTTGGTTTTTGAAAATCGGTCGTTAAGTTCCCGCTTTTCATGATCACACCATGATATCAGTTATCAATGATGCGATTTCCTCAAAATTTTGGCACTGATTGTATGTTGGAGAAATGAAGTATTTGTCATAGTGAACATTTTAATTCACCATTGGCGTGCGATGTTGAGGGGTACAAAAAAGGTATTTATTCTGGAAAAGGATATTGGGGCGGGCTCATATTAGTAAACTTTCATTAACAAATTCAGAATCAGCACCCTCAAGAACCCCTCAATCCACATTTTTGAAATCTCGAGAGCTGAAAAAAAACTTCAATATATCGCTTTCCATGACTACACCCTGAAATCTCAGTTATTGATGATGCGATTCTACCGAAATTTTGATGGTGGGTGTATGTTAGAAAAATTAAGTACCTTCTTGGCATGGTAAACATTGAAAACGGGATGTTGAAATATTTTTTTCTTGTTAACACTAGAGTTCCTAAATGTACTTGACACAGCTGTTTTGACGTTTTTTGTATATTAGAGTACGGACACTATGACAAGCACTGACAATCAGACATAACCACAAATAAATTGATGGAAAAAGCGGGAACTGACAGTACATGAGTACGCGGACGTACATGACATAAATTTCAAAAGTTTGACAAATTGAGAGAATTAGGAGAAAGATGCAAGTTTGTGCAGTTTCCAACTGTGAGGACACGCGAAATCAATTCACGCTATTCAAATTTCCATCGGATAACATAATTTTACAAAAATGAAAACAGAATATGATGCGGCCGGCATGGACAACTGTTATCATCGGTTCGACAGGAGGCATGCAGTGGTATTAATTTCGTAAATGAGTGTTGATTACAAGAAATCGACTTTTTCGATTGATTTTCGATTACTCGATGATTGTGATAAATAGGTTTCTTAACTTCATGTCAGCTCAGGAATATCTTGAAACCATTGTAGCATTGTAGCCCCTTGGGTTGCCTTATCTGAAAAATCACGAAATCAATGGGGGAGACCACTCATTTTTTAAAATGACATTATCGTGAACTCTATACTGAAAAACTACCAGTGAATTAATTTTGAATTTTGTCATTCATGCTGAGACGATGGAAAAAATAAATTAGAAAATGTCCATTTCAAAACACACAATTCCTGCGCCATTTGAAATTTTGTCAATTCATTGGTGTGACTGGTGCGACGTCTTATTCCCAACACGCCTATTGTCCTTGAACTGACCAATCACACTGCAACACTACAGAATAACGAGGTATCAGAGAGAGATAGCTACAGTTCGGGACTAATACGTCACGACTCCACCATCATATTTGGCTGTTTGAAATATCGAATGAAATATGCTGATTTCAAAACGAAATAGATTCGATTCCCTTCAATTTTAACTCATAATATTGATTGAACATCAAACGTAAATCATGATTCGTCGAAAGAGGTTTGCACGAATTTCTCCTCTCAGTGGTCTTCCCCATTCAAGATATTGAGCAGAGCAATCGATCCACATGAAGGATTTGTGTTTAGCATAGCATATGGTTATGGCAGCACCAAACTGAACAGAAAATTTCACCAAATTCTGAACATTTCTCAAAAAAAAATTCTTCTGTTGAAGTTGTCGATGATTTCAACGCAATATGAATCCATTTTCTAGGATGTGTTCCATCGTATAGAGTGGCAAAATACGATGAATGTGGCTTGCATAATTTTAAAATCGGAAATGATGTGATAAAAACCTTGAAATGAAAAATTATCGATTTTTAACATCCTGTATGAGGAATATGTAAAATTACAAAACCGTTTCAAGATATTGGCTTGAACGTTCGGTAAAAACGCTTTATAGAAAAATAAAAAAAAACCCTGGAATACGGAAGCGTCTGAATTCATTTTTGTAATACTTTTTTCGAACACTTGGTGTATAATGACAGAAAAACTCCGGACGAGTGTTGAACAAGGAATCTTGAACAGAAAAATCGCATCTTCCAAACACTGCATTCGGATTGAAAATCCATTCATTTTCCAAAAAGTTATGGCAGTTTGAAAATTGTCGAAAATTTCAGTGGTCCACTTGTTTCTTTGAGCACTTTATTTATCAAATATATCAAATACACATATGCATCAATTCTCTACCATTCGAATTCCATTCATTTATCTTTATTTGGCGTATAGAAAAATGATGTGATACTTCAACAGTTCTCTCAGTCTATTGGTTTCTTGATGAGAATTCCTCGTTTCTTACAGGTGTTATATCTCTACTTTGAGATTCCACTTTTTAAAAAACACTTTTCTACTCAACAGGTTACTTTATTCAAAAGACAATGGTTACTTGAATTTCTAATGGCTCTCTGCCATATTACTACTACACCTTTTCCAGATGTATTTTAGAAAGCGTCAATTCAATTTCAGAATAGTCACTTGTATTTCAGAAAGCGTCAATTGTATTTCAGAATAGTCAATTCAATTTCAGAAAGCGTCAATTGTATTTCAGAATAGTCACTTGCATTTCAGAAAGCATCAATTGTATTTCAGAATAGTCAATTCAATTTCAAAAAGCGTCAATTTTATTTCAGAATAATCAATTCAATTTCAGAAAGCATCAATTGTATTTCAGAATAGTCAATTGAATTTCAGAAAGTGTCAATTGTATTTCAGAAAGTATCATTTGAATTTCAGAAAGCGTCAATTGAATTTCAGAAAGCATCAATTGTATTTCAGAACAGGCAATTCAATTTCAGAATAGTAACTTGTATTTCAGAAAGCGTCAATTGTATTTCAGAATAGTCAATTGAATTTCAGAAAGCGTCATTTGTATTTCAGAAAATATCATTAGAATTTCAGAAAGCGTCAATTGAATTTCAGAAATCATCGAGATCGATTAGTTAGTAGAAAGTGCACTCCATGTAAGAATGCATAGGATGTTCAGTGCTTCCTGTAGTGATGTTTTCAATTCAATCACCCCAAATTTCACAATTGACGCTTTCTGAAATTAAATTGACTATTCTGAAATACAATTGACGCTTTCTGAAATACAATTGACTATTCTGAAATACAATTGACGCTTTCTGAAATTGAATTGACGCTATCTGAATTACATCTGGAAAAGGTGTAGACTATTCTAACTATACTAATGCCAAGGTTGCCACGCAGGGTCCTTTTATAATATTGGATCTGCAGCGTCAGCGCTGATCCTAGAAATTGTAGGAAGCAGATAGAAATATGATCAGTGCTGATTCTGCTTCTCACCATATGAAAATACTGAGAAGCTGTTATCTGGTAACCTGATATATACTGAGTGTGCTTATTTCACCATATAATACAGGTATTCAGCGGCAATCCCGACCAAGAAACGGCCGTGGTCAAGCTCCTTTGCGAGTGGGCCGTCTCCCCGGAGCGCACGGGCGAGCATCGCGCCTTGGCCGTCGCCGCCCTCCTTGACCGCCGGCAGTCCGACGCCGGTGCGGCGGGCGGCGAGCAGGAGCCGGCGCCCGGCGATGACAAGGACTCGACGGCGAGCGCGCCTGGCGGACCGCCAGCGTTCCAGGCGCTGCTGATGCGGTTCCTGGACGTGGACGCGCCGGTGCCGTCGCCCGACGACTGCCCCATGGTGAGAATTGCTCCGTGATTTTTCACTCTTCTTATTGCTCGTCGTCCCTCCTGGAATAACCTCAGTTCACCGAACACAATGGGTTGCGTGCAAGAACTGTCAGATGACCGACGCTGGAGGCACGACATTGAAACACAACCTCACTTTTCTTTTTTCTTTACAAGTGATCGAAATAGTTTTCCACAATATTATTTTGGCATAGAATCGTATTTTCAGGCTATTCATCAATTCGCGCATGCCATCACATTGTGCTGTTGTAAAATGCACAAAAACTGCAGCGGAAGGCGAAGGAATCCGGTTGGTACATTATGATTTAAAAGTAAGTACCTACTATAGACACTCACATCATTTTTTGTGCATTGTACAACAGCACAATGCGAAGGCATGCTCGAATTAATGAATAGCGCAAAAAATACGATTCGTATGCCAAAATATTGTGAAAAACTATTTCAATCCTTTGATTCCTCTGTAAACAAATAAAAAGTGAGGTTGTGTTTCAATAATTCACAAAAGAGTGAGGTTTTGTTTCAATATTTTGCCTCCAGGGTCGGTCATCGTGCACGCGACCTATTCAGTTACATACCTGTCAATATGTGGTAAGTAGGTATAACACATAAAATATATCCCAAAAAACTTTCAGTTTTTTAACAAAACTGTAGAGGCCTGAATTCCAAAACAAAAGAATTTCACCATCAAGTTCTAACAACTTTCCACAACATCATCGCTGTTACTGAAAGTTGGCTCAGGGACGGTGTGCTCAACAACGAACTTTTTCCTTCAAACTATACTGTTTATAGGAAGGACCGTGAATATCGATCGAGGGGTAGAGGTGTCCTACTCGCATATTTGTCATTCGGAACAACATAACTTGGTTTTTCCTGTAAGAAGAGTTGCTTCATTATGCGTCAAGATACTCAACCATCCTGAGAAGGCAATTTATCTGATTGTAGTCTACACTCCCCCGAACACAAGTTTCGAGGAATACGACGAACTTTTTGATTGTATAGAACATTTTTGTGAATCACATCATACCATGGTACTCGGCGATTTCAATATAACCGAATTAGCTAATTTTTATGACACAAATGCTGAGTCTACTCTTCTATCCAGATATAACAGCTTCATTAACATATATGTGATTTCACACAAAACAACAAAATTAGGAATGGTAATAACAGGATACTGGACTTGGTACTATCACCCGGCGAAGTCGATTGTAATGTTGGCTTAGACGATGATCCTTTAGTAGCTATTGATTCTCATCATCCCACCTTAATTATCAACACACCTCTCCTACCCAGTGAGCAAGAGGTGTTCATATGTAAAGAAAAACGATTCGATTTCAGATAATTCAATTCTCAAAAGTTCGTTAGACTACTTAATGAGGTCAATTGGAATATACTTTGTGCTACCACGGATATAAATGATGCTTGTACACTTTTCAATGAAATAATTCAGAACATCGTCAGAGAGTGTACTCCTCTAAAGAAATGTCGTTCACGCAAGTCCAGTAAGAATAAAATTGGACCTAAAATGAAACCTTGTGGTACACCACATTTCATCTCTCTTATTGCTATAATAAATATTGATACCATCATATCTAGTGCAACTAAATCGCTGGAATTTCTGATGCGCAATTGCAGAGATATAAATCCTTTAGATACTTTGAAAACTGTTTACAATTCCCTTGTGACGAGCAAACTCAGTTATTGTAGTTCTGTGTGGAATCCGAATCATGAGAGATTCATCTCTACTATTGAAAGAGTGCAAAAGAAAATTCTCAGTTATTGTTTAAAGAAAATATATCCTGTACGAGGTTATAACTATGATCAACTTCTCAGTGAGTTTAAATTCGAGTCACTTTACAAAACTAGAAAAATTGGTGATCTCACATTTATATACAAAATCATCCACAATCTTGCTGACTCCAATACCCTTTTGTCATACATTAATTTCAACGTACCAACATTTCATTCGAATGTACCAAATTCCTTTCATCACTTCTACTCTCCTATTAATACAATGTGTAGACAAGCTAATGATTTATGTAATGTAGACATATTTTTCTTGAACATCAATCAATCTATAAGACGTCTACATGTAACATTACCTAATTAACTGATTCCGTATGAATTCAATTATGTACTTCCTGTAAATGGGTTCAACCTGCTGGATGTAATAAAATAAAAAATAAAATTAAAAAACTGCGAAATCATGAGCAGAGAATGGAGAGCATGCGATCTTTATATTCAATAAACTAGCTTTCGATTATAACGTAATTATACTTCACTATCCAAGAATCTGAAGTTTTTTTTTTCAGAAAAAGACTGCATTCTCCAATTTGGTTCATCTGTTTGCTGAACTGATTCGTCGTGATGTATTTTCCCACGATGCTTACATGTGCACCCTCATATCACGAGGAGACCTTCTGGGACCTGAAGAGATGACTGACCCCATATCAAACCACCACCACCACACCAAAATGGAGGTATATTATGTTTTTTTTTCGATATAAAATACTATATGCATACTACCACAACGCCTATAATACAAATTTTACTCTGTGAACACATAATAAATTTAAAACCTTCATAGCTGTGTCATGTCAACATTGTCTCTAAAATTTGACAATCAAAATCACAGAAACTCCGTTGTGAATATTTTGAATGAATCTGGCTTCACTGTGAACATTCTCATATCAAATTTGAATTTCAGTCACACTAGTTTCTGAGGAACGTCTCATGAGGGAAACTCCGTGAATCACCCTGTATTGGTGAACGGTCGATCACTAGCTGTCTGAGTTGTCTGAGGCCTATCACCAACACCATATCTCCATGAAAACTCTAGTTATTATACAAGTGTCTTCAAAAAAAATCAAATAACTGCTGATTGAGATATTTTAAGCACAAAAATTTTTCAGCTCTCTTATTTCTCAACACCTTTATGTTCTATGAATGTTGCCTTTTAGATTTAATACAAGACAGTATTATGGTTTGAAGATTGAATTTCAAAGAAACATTGTTAGATATATAATTTCACAGTCAAATAGTACACTGATATTCGCTTTATGATATATAACCGTTTCTTCACACCCATCTTCATTATAAAACATCCAAGTACTGGATGCTGAAGATTGATGATGGTGTTGGCTTCTATAGTCAAAGAGCTCATGTCCTTCTTATAATAAAGTATAGTATACTGGCACCAATTCAATTCAGAAATCTTTCAAGGGTTATACAAATTCGTATAACCCTTGCAAGATTTCTGAATTGAATTGGCGCCAGTTATACTATTCTACAGAGTGGTTAATTGAACACGAAATAGAGGCTCTGTGGGTCGCCAGAACCGGATTATGAAGAAACGGTGGAACACATCAACTACATTCTCTAGGGGGACATTTATATCGTTTTTAATGCTTATCTTCTGACATTGACAAATCAATTCTAACCTCACATTTTTCACATATATTGTACCTATGAAAGAAAAATTCACTTTTCAGATACTCTCCTGATGATGGCCTAGTGCCGCAAACGTTCGAGTTGCTATTCAATAAATAAATAAGTTGTATACTATAGCCTGAGTCTTTTACTCATTAATATTGATTATTAATCTGTATATTTTCAAGCCGATGGACTACGACGACGCCAACATCGACCACGACCTCGACAAGATCCTGCAGAACATCAAAGAGGACCAGCAGAACTCGATGGACGTGCCGGACAGCCCGAAGGAGCACGATCACGCCCATCACGCCCACGCGCCATCCTCGATGGGGCACGTGCCCATGGAGGCGGACCACGGGGACCACAAGGTCAAGCCTTCGAGGCATTTGCTCTACACCACGCACTTTCCGCTCAGTCAGGACGATCCGTTCTCGCAGCACGATTGCAATCAGCGGCATGTTCTATTGTATGGTGTCGGCAAGATTCGGGACGAGGCCAGGTGAAAAATCTGTTTTTGATCTTTTTTATTCTTTTATTTTGTGACCCCCTAGGAACAAAAATACGTACGTACGCTGAACTTGACACTTTCACTTTGACGTACTTGTATATTTAGAGCACGGACACGCTTCTGACAAGCACTTGAAATCAGACATTACCACAATGAAGCGTTGAAAAATTTGATGAGACCGCAACCCTGTAACTGGCGGCGACATTGGACTGCATTCGAGTAACAATATTATAAAGCGGTAACTGCGCCATGTTTTTTGCATCTGGCTGTACATGACATAAATTTTAAAGGTTTGTCGAAGTGAAAACAAATTGGGAGAACAATAAGATGCAAGTTTGAGATGTTTTTAACGCCAAAAACACTGAGAATCGATTCACTTTATTCACATTTCCATTAAATTGAACACTTCAATATTAGGTGCACTTCAAACCGGGTGATTTGATAATAAAAAACAAGATTGTTTTCCAAGAAAGAGCCACAATTTATAAATAGGATGAATATCAAGATGAACCAACCGATTCAGAAAATATATGGAACTAAAAACTTTCTCTCACGTGCTCAATGAGGTGGACCATGGGGACCACAAGGTCCAGCCTTCTAGGCAATTGCTCTATACTATGTACTTACCGTTCAGTCAGGACGATCCGTTCTCGCAGCACGATTGCAATCAGCGACATGTTCTATTGTATGGTGTCGGCAAGATTCGGGACGAGGCCCGGTGACTTTTTTTTTCTGTATGAAATATTCTATTCTACATCATTTGCCATAGCTTCTAGAGCTATCCGGCAAGTGAAAATGTTGGCCCTTATTGAAAGTAGCATTTTGCTCCCTCATTCAGGGAAACAAAGATGTTAATTTATTCCCACAGATATTTCAACCAATCGAAAACGTGTATTTCGAAATGAGTGGAATAATCTATGATACATTACTTCCTTCCATAACAAATATAACATTTTGAAGAAATATTCTAAATAACTTGAAAATTATTCGAAACAGGAATGGGAAACTAATCACCGGTAGCTGGTTTCTGGTCTGGTTTCCACTTCTGTGTAATGTATCCGTTGGGCTTAAATGATCGAAAACATAGTTGGTATTAATTCACAAATTTTCATAGAATTCAGGATTGTAATATTATGAAAGTTACATGGTATAATACATTTAAACTGTTTTCAATTTCCGTTGCTGAAATGCGACATATTCTTCTATTATTAAAAAAAATTAACCAAACAAATAGACAACAATTTTCTCCCTAATGAAAACCACTGTATATACCTAATACATCAGGCGCCTACCTCGGTTGCAAAGAGGTTTTACCGACGCCAAGGGTTTAAACTCTCCCCTCGTAAAGGCACCTGTAGTGTCTATTAAGACATAAATTTAATTTTGAATAAATATTCGAAATAAATTGAATATATTACGAAACAGAAATGGGATACTCATCACCGGTAGCTGGTTTCTGGTCTGGTTTCCACTTCTGTATTATTTTCCCGTTGGGCATAAATGAACGATTTCAAACACGTTGCTTCTTCGATCTAAAACAGAGTTGGTATTAATTCTCAAATTTTTATTAAATTCAGGATTGTAATTATGAAAGTTACATGGAATAAGAAACTGAGATATAACATGAAAAAATATTTTCAAATTCCGTTGCTGAAATGCGACATATTCTTCTATTGCTCAAAAAATGAGCGGAACAGATAGCCAACAATTTTCTCCTAAATGAGAAACACTGTATATACCTAACCCATCAGGCGCCTACCTCGGTTGCAAAGAGGGTTTACCGACGCCAAGGGTTGATACTCTCCCCTCGTAAGGGTACCTGTCGTGTCTCCATTGAGACATAAAGGTGACTATCGAAGAAAAAAACTATGATACATCGCCTTCCATAACAAGTATAAAATTTTGAATAAATATTCGAAATAAATTGAATATATTACGAATCAGGAATGGGATACTCATCACCGGTAGCTGGTTTCCACTTCTGTGTTATTTTTTCGTTGGGCTTAAATGAACGATTTCAAACACGTTGCTTCTTCGATCTAAAACAGAGTTTGTATTAATTCTCAAATTTACATTAAATTCAGGATTGTGATTATGAAAGTTACATGGAATAAGAAACTGAGATATAACATGAAAAAATATTTTCAAATTCCGTTGCTGAAATGCGACATATTCTTCTATTGCTCAAAAAATGAGCGGAACAGATAGCCAACAATTTTCTCCTAAATGAGAAACACTGTATATACCTAACCCATCAGGCGCCTACCTCGGTTGCAAAGAGGGTTTACCGACGCCAAGGGTTGATACTCTCCCCTCGTAAGGGTACCTGTCGTGTCTCCATTGAGACATAAAGGTGACTATCGAAGAAAAAAACTATGATATATCGCCTTCCATAACAAGTATAAAATTTTGAATAAATATTCGAAATAAATTGAATATATGTATTACGAATCAGGAATGGGATACTCATCACCGGTAGCTGGTTTCCAATTCTGTGTTATTTTTTGTTGGGCTTAAATGAACGATTTCAAACACGTTGCTTCTTCGATCTAAAACAGAGTTTGTATTAATTCTCAAATTTACATTAAATTCAGGATTGTGATTATGAAAGTTACATGGAATAAGAAACTGAGATATAACATGAAAAAATATTTTCAAATTCCGTTGCTGAAATGCGACATATTCTTCTATTGCTCAAAAAATGAGCGGAACAGATAGCCAACAATTTTCTCCTAAATGAGAAACACTGTATATACCTAACCCATCAGGCGCCTACCTCGGTTGCAAAGAGGGTTTACCGACGCCAAGGGTTGATACTCTCCCCTCGTAAGGGTACCTGTCGTGTCTCCATTGAGACATAAAGGTGACTATCGAAGAAAAAACTATGATACATCGCCTTCCATAACAAGTATAAAATTTTGAATAAATATTCGAAATAAATTGAATATATTACGAATCAGGAATGGGATACTCATCACCGGTAGCTGGTTTCCACTTCTGTGTTATTTTTTCGTTGGGCTCAAATGAACGATTTCAAACACGTTGCTTCTTCGATCTAAAACAGAGTTTGTATTAATTCTCAAATTTACATTAAATTCAGGATTGTGAGTATGAAAGTTACATGGAATAGGAAACTGAGATATAACATGAAAACATATTTTCAAATTCCGATATATTCTTCAATAACCCACAAAATCAACCAAACAGATAGCCAATAATTTTCACCTAAAGGAAAACACTGTATCTAACCTATCAGGCGCCTACCTCGGTTGCAAAGAAGGTTTACCGACTTCAAGTGTTGATACTTCCCCCTCGTAAAGGTACCTGTCGTGACTGTATGATATATCGCCTACCATAATACCTAAATATGATATTTTGAAGAAATATTCGAAATAAATCAAATATAATATGAAACAGGAATGGAACATTCATCACCGATCGCTTGTTTCTGGTCTGGTTTATTCTATACACGGTGTTTTCTTGATCTACAACATAGTTGGTATCAAATCTCGAAAATTCTTCTCAGATTCCCTTGCTGAAATGCGTGTACTTGTCATTACTCCATTGAGACATGAAGAACATGAAGATGACTATCAAAAAATACCTTAGTATATATGTATATCCATATCCATATCCATAACAAATAGACATTTTGAAGACATTTTCGGAATAAATCGAATTTCAGTAAGTAATTCGATGAATATAAAAGGAAACAGCTTGAGGGAATAAGATATATTAATTAGTAAAAAACTTGCCTTTGTAGAGGACACAATTTCTTTTCTCATCATCTCGTGATCAATCCTGTAACAAAATAATTCAATTGAATAGTCAATATACAGTGTGGGTTTTGGATTAATGACAAATTGATATTCATCATACAGGACGTGGAAAGAAATTCTGAATTGGGAAAATCTAATCACGAATCTGCGATCAAAGGTCTATAAAAATAACAAGTTTCCATTGTTCAAGTTTGAAGCCCTTGGTTGGGTGGAAGTATTGAAAAGGAATATTCTCAGAAGAATTATGAACATGAAAAAAAATATATATATACAGTGTGGAGACTAACTGGAATAAATCCGTTAGCGAAGAGGTAAATATTTTTTCTATGAATTCCCGACATACGTCACCGATTTAATATATTTACCTCGGTATTCACCTACCTTTTACAAGCTTTATCGAAGATATATCCCTCCAGGGGTAAGTGAAACCATTCTCAACATAATTTTTTTAAATGTAACCCTGTGGCTTGTTACCCCACATTGGAAAGCTGGTGGAAAGAGGAATCCAGCGTACTAGTCAAATTTTAGTTTTTCATGTTCAAAGGTTGCATAAAATTGATATGTAATTTCAAATTAATTTTTTTTTCAACGTATCAATCGCTCAAAATGTATATTGAATAATTGATGGCAATTTCTTGCCACAACTGCTATCTGCTATTGTATTCCAGTGTTTTTATAGAGCCGCAGAAAGAAATTTTGTTTTTTGCCATATTGATAGTTCAAAATGAAGTGTTATTGAAAACTGGTGGAAATGCCCTATATCACTGTCACTAAAAGTCGAAATTTTAATTAAAATGATTTGAAAAGATATTAAACTTCAAAATTATATTTTTATTGTATGCTACCCCCAAACGTACTGCAAACTGAAATATGATCAGTACGCTGGATTCCTCTTTCAACCAGATTTCCAATGAGGGGTCGCAAGCCGTAGTGTTGCATTTGAAAAAAACATTTTGGGGTTGATTCCAGCTACCCCTGGAGGGTTATATCCTCCATATTGCTGCCAAATGTAGGTGAATACATTCAAACGTGACGTGTCTCGCGAATTTTGAGGAAAATTATTCACTTCCCCTGTAGCCAATTTATTCCAGTTGAAATCTCCACCCTGTATATGAGAAATCGCATTCTCTATGTGATGAAAATATAATAATAAATAAATATAAATTTTTTCTCGGTTTACTCAAGAGAAAATAACTACCTTGGCAATGTGCC